CTTTGTTTACAATTCAAAATAGATACTGAGACACCTGTGTTCGGAAATTCTACAGAAATGCCTTTTGCATTCGTTAATATTAGATTATGGTTCAATTCGAGCGTCGCGAAAATCACAGACCAAGCGGCGGTGTTGATCGATTGGCCCACTCATTCATCCATGGTGGAACATCGAATTGGAAATGGAAATTGAATGCCAAAATAATCCGTATTTCAGGGGTTGAGGTTGATAAATATCTTGGAAGTTTTCCCGTCATGCGAGGCGGACGCTCGTATAACAACTCAAAGTGCGTGAAATACAAATGGAGACTATTTTCTTTTCTAGAAGTCATGGAAGCAGCTTTTCATTAGGGTGTAAAGTTATAATCAAATTGTGGAGCAGAGAACCATAGTTACATGTCCCAGAAATTGTCCATACTATGCATACATGGTATGATTGCATGCATCGTATAACATCGTATAATATCGTAAAAAATAGTACGAAAAGCGAAAACATTTATATATCATCCTCGGTAATCGGCTTCTTCGGTTTGAAAAATCGCCCCCCCTTTGTTCTCTTCTCAGGCTTAAAAATTCTCTTCGAATCTCTGCTTTCCTCAAGACCTTCCATACCATCACGACCCATGATAATATTAAACTTATTCTTCTTCTTCTTTGCCGCTGATTTACTGAGGACTTTTCCGGGTTTGGATCCCTTACTGTTGACTGTACCTTCTCCTCCCCTTCCTAATCTAGGTTGCCTGGGAACTCTCGTCTTAGCACCAAGGGCCCAAAGATCTCCCCATTTGGACTTCCTAGCATCGCGGTACGCTACTTTACTAAAACTTTTAGGGATTGTCCATCGTTCTAACTTACCCGATGGTGTACAAACATCCAAGGTGACATGTCCGCGGCGTTTGAGAGGTGGGAGCATAGAACGTGGGAGTGATAATGGATGAAATGGTACATCACCCTCTTCAGGCATTTCTGGGCCATCCGGTAAATCATGGTTTTCATATCCGGCAAAAGATTGGTCAGTTGCAGCATCTCCTTGTAGAATAGCTTCTTCTTTCCTCGCATCAATACCTCTTCGTACTGCCAGGTATGAATATCTAACATCTTCGTGATTGCGAGAAGAAGCACCTAAAATCTTCTGTAGATAAGGTGGGCGAAGATATCGCTGTTCGAAATGACAAAAGTCCTTTCTACCAGGTGTAAGGCCTGGGACTGGATACATTGGACACTTAGTATGATTAGTACATGGTGCAATAATCATACCCTCCTCTTTCGCTGCGAACCGTGATTCGTTGTCTGAAAGAGACTGAAGTTCTTTTTCGAGGTTTTCGTCACCAGGTGAAGAAATATGTGAGTCGAGCAAAAGAGAACGAGCGCCTGCTATAGCCTCAAATCCACGTGGTAAGCCCTTTTCTATCAGGATAAGTACACCTCCTTTGGGATCAAGCATTGACCAGAGGTTCTGTACCATGTGTTTCCGGCGAAAATCTTCCTTTAGTGGGAACAAGGTATGCGGGGCGATGATCAAATCATACATTTTCCTGGGTTGTGCGGGTCCACCATCAAGTTGGGCCTCGCCACTGGATGAATGGACGTAATCAGGAAGTCTGGGAAGAAAGGTAGTATTGTCGAGAAATCGTGAAATTCGGTGTCGTAATGTATCTGCTCCAGTAAGGACCGTGTGTTTCCCAGATGGGGGTACGTCTCCTTCGACGATGCCATCGTCTTTCAATACATCCCATTCGGCTCTTAAGATTTCCTGCCATGCTACAATACCAGCTCCACCAGCTCCTGCATCAAGAATTCGTGGACCTTGGCCACCCTCCCTAAACAACATCTCTCGAATCCATTCGGACCCTAATCGTTTGCGTACCTCAACCAGCGTACTCATAACAGAAGTATAAGTACCTGACATTACACCAGCCAAATATGCATCTGCTTCAATTTCACTCATCCTGTGTTGTGAAGCATCAAGTCCAACGTGTTTTTGTGGTAAAAGCTTAAGCTTTCCTACGTTTGGAGTAGAAGAAGAATATGGTAACCACTTTCCACCAAATGCTTTCTGTGCAGCCTCTGTAACGTGTTTCATGCTTGTTCTCTCTAGCAGTTCGGTAATTGGTGTAACAAATTGTTCTTTCGGCAGTGATATGGTACTTGGGGATGTGCCAAACCTAGCGGTCCTAGTATGCGGATGTGTACGAACCTCGTCCGAGCTAATATATGAATCGTACTCATCTTCCTCATATTCTTCAGGGTCCTCAAATAATTCTTCTTCGGATTCTTCCGACGATTCTTCCTCCTCCTCGTAGTCCTCGTCGAAAACAGTATCTTCTTGGTCTGCTGCTCGTGCCATTGCTTCGTCCATATCGCGTTGTAGCCGTGCAATAGCATCCACCTCTCTTTGATTTTGAGCTTGAAATGTTATATTAGTAGAATCCGTTCCCGCAGAAGTCTCTGTTGCCATTGATATTTCCTCGCCTCCCAATTCCATATCAGGTTCGCTTTCTTCCTCAATCCCCAATTCATCACCCTCACTGGCAGGAGCAAACCCGTCAGTGCCATCTTCCACAACCTTAAAGCCCAGCTCTGGATCGAATTCAATCTCTTCAAATTCACCATCAGCGTTCTCTCTCAAAAGAACATTCCTAGATGGCCCATCCTCTCCAATATCCTCTTCCTCAACCTGCAGATATTCTAAATCCTCCGGCCTAGTTTCGCGCAGTGGCGCACCGTACAATCTCTCATATAATTGATATTCCTCAGCAGATAGATAATCCTTTGGCAAAGTTTCTCCAAATGTTTGCCTAGCCTGCCTCACGAACGATTCAATTCCTGTTGCTCTTGCTTCTGTGGCTTTCACTTCGGAATTTGGTAGATTTGTGGTCGTCCGAGCTTCATCTGATCGATTCAGAGTCGTTGAGAATAATCGTAAAGTATTAGGGCGCGGCTGAATTGATCGATGTCGAATATCGCGAAGTCTTGAATGTGTAGAGGCTGTCGAAGCAGTGGGTCTTGTGAATCCATATTCGAAAAGAGAAAGAAGTTGAGATCTACATGACTGACATGCTCTCGGAACTTTACGTGCGGTGAGCATAATTAATCGGTGCTTGAATGGTGAGATTACCAAAATACTCTTCAAAAAGATTGTTGCTAACCTTGATCGCATAAATATTTACCTGCGAACTTTTTTGAGATATTGCATTCCGAGATAAATTACTATATTCACACCCCTACCCCACGTGGGGTGAGTTCTAAACCAATGGGTTACGAAGCATTTGATATACCTATACTAGAAATTAATACCATAACCCTTCTCTACATTTTACCATCGTCGCTGTCGTCTAGCTAATCGGACGCATGTAATCGTTGGACAATGATATCATGAGCAATTGTTTCCAAACAAAACCAGATCAGCAGTTATTGATCGAAAGCTTTTCATCAAAGTACCATTTAAATCGCATCTTTATTACACGTGTATAGTATACCTCAAGTGAGTTACGAGAAACTGAGGAAAGTGCCAACTCCCTGCCTCACATCAAGGCCAAGCTTTGGAGTAAAATTATCAATTGATACCTCTTTTATCCGGTCAAATCAGTTCTACCAATCCAATCTATCCTCGTCTTATTGCAAGCACCCTCACGTAAACCTGCCCGCATACTATGCACAATAGATGGTCTGGGGCCTGTTATTCCATCTTCTCTATTGATTTCCTCGAGATTTTGATCATTAGCAACATATTCTGTATTCTATTGCTTCACGAGAGGCGTTACAGCGGCTGAGCCATTGAGATCTCTCCTATAAAGAGCAGATGAGAGATCGACTTCTTGTTGAACACAAAATCATCGTCTAGACTCGAAGTGCTAGAATATAAAAGGCTACCGGGGAGATATTTCCCTTAAAACCGCACCAAATCTCATTGTTCTCTTCTGGGTTGCGGATTTCGCAAATTCCCTTCCTATATTCTCGGTACATAGGAATATCATAGATATCAATAGGTTATATCATCGATTTCTAGTCGCTGCAAAAGGTAGTATCCAGAGCGAGGAAAATTTTTCGAGAACAAAAAGCCACCGAATTCCAGGGAACCTGAACATTGAAAGTACCGTCACCTTGATATCTCTTTCAAAGTTGTCACTCCATTATATGTGGGCACGATCCTTATGTTCCATAATGCATTCAAGTATATTCAACTGAAGCCAAATCAGTAATTGCACTTGAAGCGAGAAGTGAAATGGTAGTACTGATATCTTGATCACCTCTCAGTGATGATAAATGAGAAGGAACCACTATTAAGGGAGGAAGTATCTGTAGAAGATAACATATTAGCAAATTTCCATCCTTACTCTGTGTATATAGAACAGAGCCCTGCTCTTATTGGAAGTTTGATTCCAACTAGAAATTCGATTCAAACTGAGAGTCTGATTTCAACTGGTTTTTGAAAGATGTTACTTCCATTCTCAGCTGAATGACCGATCATATATACCAATAGATGCAAGCAATGCAGTGTATCAGGTGAACATACAAGCTTATGGCTTATAGCTAAGTAGAGCGAGCAAGGGCTGGCAAAATCAACATGAGCTCGCGGCATCGATGATGATGTATTAATGAACTGCCATCTCTTGATAAATAACTTTTAAAGGGTTCCAGAATATGCCAATGTTTGAAATGCTTTCATAATTGAGTCAACACCAACGTGGAACCTATCATGTACTAAGCCTTAAGCATAATCATCATCTAGATGATCAAATCAGCACAACTGATTTCATGAATTACTTTGAATAAAGATTTTTGTGGAATGGAATAATCTGCTTGTGATTTTCGCATAAATTCTTTGTTCAAAGTCAAAGACATTCATGCAAAATGCGATTTTCTTCGAATTAACATAGCGTCTTTGTTGCTTTGTTCTCTATGTCTATAAATTTCAAATGAACTGTGTGCTTAGAGGCAGTATCTTTGCTGATATCACCCAAACGCGAAACTTCCACAAGATTCTGGAATATACCAAATATGCTGCTCTCACCGACCCTTTATCAGAAGAAATATGGCGTCCCTCCGACCCCTATAGCCATTATTATCGGCTCACATCGCAGCGGACTCACCCCAATATCTGCATACGACCTTACCAATCCGTCTGCCAACGCCTCCCGTGAAGAACGAACAGCCTACCGACAATCCAGATTATGTGGATACACATCCCAACTTCTAGTTGATCTTGATGTTGTCTCATTGAGGTCATTAACTATCCCAGAAGATTCAAATCCTATCAATCCAACAATGCAAAGAAGCAGATGGTTTGAAACAAGTGATCTAGTTCTTCCAATAAGTAGTTCAGAGGCAGAAGGAATTTCATGGACGGCGCAAAATCCTCTCATTTGGAAGCATCTTCAACTGTATCTAAAACTCGCTTCGAGATTGTTGACGAGAATGCATTTAGACCCTTTTGTATGTATCTCAGTCCTCCATGGTTTCTAATCGAGAGCTAATGAGGATAGGTTCAAGCTTTACTACTCGGAAATACCGAGACAATTCCGATTGAAGAATTCAAGTCTCAAGATGTATTTCGTTTCGGTCCTGGAATCCAAAAGCTTTTCAAACGCTTTGATCCCCTGGCATACGATTCGAAAAATGCTTTTCGAACAAGACAAGAATTAAATCGCATCGGAAAGAAAATCCTGATGCGCCATTATACGCTGGGATTTGGTGTTGATGAGCCTGCCAAAAGCCAAGGTGATGAAGGAATGGAATCATCTGCTCCTCTGAAACAAAGCTTCGTTGCAGTTTCCACATACAACCGTCAAAATATGACAATAGTCACTAAGTATAACGTATACAGCTTTAGAGTGCTAACGAATCCCAACTTGTCTAACGCAGAAAGGCTTTCTGAGGAATGGTATGTGGCAACATCAATGTATCATGAATTTATGGTTTGTTGTTCCACTCTTCATTGTCTTATCATTTCATAACAGTAGATCAGCATGTGCTTGGCTATGCTAAGGAATCCACATCCGATGGAGACTCTCTCAAAGAGGAAATAAAGGAAGCGGTTTCTCATGGTGCACTTTACGAGCCAATGTGGCGTCGAGAACAAAAGTCTGAACTTGGATGGGCAGGCGAGGCTTCCGTAAGAAATCCCATGCAATCCAAAGTATTCATTCTAATCAGATCTACTCTAGATGTTTGGAGGCACACATTCCAAAATACTGTACAATAAAATAACGAATGGACCTGGCTTGGGAAGCACTCTAGATCCATGGCCAGAATACGACGCAGCAAAGCATGGTGATACACCTCAGCTTTTACTACCCTTGGGCTCAAGATGGGCATCTCCTCTGCCTATATATATGCATACTCAATTTCGATCAGAGGACTTCTGGTCGTTATATGCCAGAAAATATGAGTTATTCCACCCTGTGAATTCGATAGGCTATGCACATGCAATCACCATCGAAGATGACTATGCTAAAGAAATTGACTATCAATACAATGTTGTTCTTCCGTCTGATTTCAACGGATATTTATCGCCAGTGTCAGTCATCACCCCCACCCTACATGGGGTTTCGAAACCGAGTGAATGTACTTATGCAGAATACCTCTTGTTGAATCGAGATGGGAGAATGGACAAAGCCAAAACTCTTCGAAGTCGTCTTGAAAGATTTCGCGATTTGTTTCATGAAATCAATGCAACTATGCATCAACAATCCAAAACACTCATGGATTACGCGTGGTTATATGCATACTTTGAAGAGCCACCAGAGCCAGAGTATGAGGAAGCAGAGTATGAGAATGGTTTTGAGAAATGGCTTGATAAATGGACTGAATCTTTGAACAAACTCACTGAAGCCTTGGATGCCTGCCTACAGAATTTCGATATTAGCATTCACAGACTCACTGTCTGGGAAACAGCCATTAAATCCAGCTTATATAGCGACAGGTACCATGAAGAGGAAATCAATCAATGTATCAATCTCAAAAATTTCGGAGTAAATCTATTGGAGCTTATCGAATCACTTAAATTCATAGAAGGAGAAAATGATAGGAATTTACAAAGGTACTATAATGATAGCGTCGATACCTACTGGGCCAGTCGCAGAAGGCTCTCCCCTGAATGCAATTACGCGACTGTCATTGCGGACAATGCGTCGAGTGCACAAAAGAACAAAGCTGTCTTTGAAGCAAAATTACAAAGAGCTCGAGCGCCCCTAGCATATATGGACATCGCTTCATTCGAGCCATTGTGTAATCAGTTGCTCCATGATGATCTTGGAGCTGCTCTGAAACCAGCATTGAGAGCAGAGCTCTTTACACTGCTAACGAAATGTACGAGTTTCCATACAGGGAAATTGACTGAATATGCGCGGGGAGCGAGGAAAGCACTTCTCTGGCTAACAAGGGATCCGACAGCGTCAGATGAAGAAAAGCAGTCGGCATTGGATAAATGGGACGAGCTTCAAGAGTACATAAACGAAGCTAAAAATTTGTGATTTTTCTCACATGTTCGTCTGAAGCTTTGGGTAGTCTTTTGCAGGTACAGCTTCAAATGTTCGAAGCAAGTAAGCGAGCAATGAAGGGGTAGAGGGAGGTTCTCAAGGGAAAGGATGGGCCATGAATTTTCAGTGGTAAATATTATGGTTCGTGAGGGAGGAAAGTGATGTAAACAACTTCCATTTGTGAATATTGGGGATGTAACTTTCGATTGATGACCATATGATGATCGTCTCTGTTAGAAAGCATTATATCCGGAAACTCAAGCACAAAGAAATCATCTAGGAGGCGGTTTCACAGATTTTTTTTACCGCTTAGTTGATGAAGCCTTCATGTAAACAATAACTGTTTTGATGCTGGACTTATCGTCACTTTGCAGAGATAATGAGCTCGATTGGGATAAATTCAACTCAGATTTTCCAGTAATAGCACCTGTGTTGATTTTACCACGACCGAGTTGTTCATAACAAAATAAGAAGGATTTACGTTGAAATCTTTCTGATTGTCATGAAGAACGAAGCTCCAGGGTATTTGTCAGCATACGCGTCTTGGAACTACAGCGCCAAAAAGCTTAAAGAGACTCCAATATGCGTTCTCGTTCAACACAAAGCGATGTAACAATTATATGATTGATGCCATGACAATATACAAAGGGAAACTACATCCTTGGAGGCAGATTGACAAATTCTAGAGAATTATGATGTCCATTCCAAGCTGAGTATTACCATGAGAGTTGCGATAACATATTGTTATCCATTCTGGACCTAATTACCCCTCACTTCACTGGGCACAGAGTACCTAAGATACTACATGTGTAGGTATGTACTGATAACTTCATGCATTAAATGCAGAAAGATGGGTTGAACTTCCTAGATAGTATTATCTATCGCGGCACAAATGGCTATTGTTTCATTGGTGGGCATCTTCAGTCATATCAATTATTGAGTCATCGAAGTATCCATGAACTCACCTCGATTGTTATCGATATCAGTCACACAACTCTCGTCCTCCCTACTTAAACCCTCGCAGGCCCTACCTTCCTCGATTGACCTTTCTTCAATCAATCCATACTCGCCATGGCTCTTCTCGAGCGGATTTTAGGTCAATTAACCACAGACCCATTCATAGCTCTAATAACAATTACAACCCTATCCCTTCTCCTCCGCTGCACCTACCGCTGCACCCTGCACCCTCTCTCTCATATTCCCGGTCCACTCCTCCCCAAACTCACATCTCTCTGGCTCCACTACCACGCTTATGTCGGAGACGAAGCAAGCTGCATCCACAAACTCCACAACCAATATGGTCCCATCGTCCGCGTCTCTCCATCGGAAATCGACATCGCAGATGCGGATGCCATAACCCCTATCTATATATCTAAAGGCGGCTTTCCGAAAGCTCCGTGTTATGCCAATTTTGATGTCGATGGTCATAAGACGATATTCTCGACTACAGATGCGGAGTTTAGGGCTCCGAGGGCAAAGGCAGTTATGCCCTTGTTTTCGACCAAAAGTATCAGGGATAATGAGGCTGCGTTGTATGGATGTGTGGAAAATATGGTGAGAAGAATGAAGGAAGATGCTGAAGGAGGTGAACCAGTCAATTACTTGAATCTGGCGAGGAGCTTGGCGCTAGATGCTATTTCTACACATCTGTTTTCGGAAAATTATAATGGAACCTCTGAGAAAGGAGAAAGACTCTCGGCTTCGGCATTTGTCGATGCATTTGTAGCTGTGGGGAGATTTTTCTATTTGCCCAATACAGTCTTTATTTGGTTATCATGGTTTATGGAAAAATTCGTGATAGATTCACTTACTGAAAATTCCATACAGTTGGTGGACCAGTTTGTGAATAATCTTGTGGAATCTACACCCAAGGAAAGTAAGAATTATCCTGGCCGATTGCTCAATATGGGTTTCAGCAAGTCTGAAGTGAAGTCTTCATGCAAGGATTTGATGTTTGCGGGAACGGACTCTACAGGTATGAACATGGCAACTATCTTTCGATATTTAGTGTTGTGTCCGGAAAAGTAAGTCAACATCCTCTTGATGATCTTAGCGGAAGAAGTATTTACAAGCTTGAAGATATGAAATCCTCCGGGCTGAAATCATGGAAAATGCAAATTCTTCCATCAAACAAGAAATCCAAGCTCTTCCCTACCTCTCCGCTGTAGTAAAAGAAGGGTTACGCATCAGCATGGCAAATCTCACTCGTCTACCTCACGTTGTCCCTAGCGGTGGATGGACGTTCAAATCTGTCTATTTCCCCGCTGGATCTATCGTAGGCTGTTCCGCCTATGAGCTCCATTTTAATCCAGACGTCTTTCCAAATCCCCATGAATTTCAGCCTGAAAGATGGCTGGAAGGGAATATCACGCCGGAAGCAAATAAGTATTGGTTTGCTTTTGGTGCAGGTAGTAGAGCGTGTATTGCGAGAAATCTTGCTACGGTGGAGCTTTACATGGCGGTGGAGAAAGTGGTAGAAAGTGATGTTTTGAAGGGTGCGAGGGTTTGTCAGGAGAAGGTTGAAATTTTTGAGTGGTTTAATTCGAGTGTGAAGGGGGAGAAACTAGAATTTGTTTGGAACCGGGATGAAAAAAGCTGATGGATACTAGTTTATTTGCGAGCGAAATACATTTACACTAGTATTTCGAATCTTCGACATGGTTGAAGTTGCCATCATTATTAGCTTAGAAGTCTCGATGCTGGATCCTGCCCAAACACAATTTCATTTATTTTCTAACCTGAAATTCTACAGGCACAAGCGAAGTCTTTATTCAAACTCCAAGAACTACCTATCGTCAATACCCTTGCCCATTCCATTGCCATTGCTCAACATTCCCCTGTCCCTCCATTAACCACTCCAATCGATCCTCAACTGTTACCCATCCTTTCTTCCCTTTTACAACCGCCCTTCCAATAACATTTTTCCACCTAGCAAACCCCTTAAATTAGCATTTCTAAAATCGAGCACTGCAAATGAAATGAAAACTTAACTTACTCATCAAACCACTCTTCCTCCCCCATAACTACACACCTCCTTCCCTCGATCCCTCTCCCCACATCTGCAAACGGCCACACACTACTAACAACCTCATATCTCTTCGTCCCCATAAAAACCTTCGCCATGCTACTAAAAAACGAGTTTACTCGGTCTGGAGGTCTTACCACAACTTTCGAATGCGTAATTGGGAAGCTGATGGTGGTGTGTCCTGGATATCCTGTCTGAGCTATGAGGGCAAGTATAAGACCCTGGAGATGTGTAGTCGAGAGATTGGGGATTTGACGTGTTAGTATGAATCTACATAGATTCAGTTAATGAGTAACTCGCAAAAGAGAAGCACAATAATCATAGCGACGGGAAAACATACTCCTTCACGCCCGCTTCATCTCCACAAAATGCTCTAACCCATCCCTCTAGCCCCTTACCCCCTTGCCCCCCAAAATCAGGCTCCGTCGCCTCTCTCACACCCCCCCTCCATCCCATTTCACCTCTCCCAAGAATTTTCATGTAGTTCATTTTTCGCTCTCCTTCCCCAACAATCAAACACATTAGATTAATCCTAATATCGAAATCCGGGGCCGGAGCATGCATTCGCTGGCCCACAATTCTCAACATAGGTTTTGGGGGGATAGTACACAGAGAAGTGATCAAGGGAAGGAGAGTCCCGGGATTAGATAAATGCGCCGAGGAAGAAGTGATAGTTGTTTTATCGCTCGAGAGCGTGAATGAAGGAGGGAGATACAGGTTATAGGGGAGATTTGGGATGCCGGGGGAGCGGAGCTGGGGGTTAGAGCGGAGGAGGATGGGAGGAGAGAGGGCGGCGGAATAGGCGGGAGGAGTGGAGTCGTCATCGTGGTTGTGATGGGGGGAATTGGCGTCGGACAATGTATCGAGGTGGTTTTGGCGGGAGGATGAGGGACCGGCTTCGGATGCAGGATTGATGGGTTCGAATGATCCGGGAGTGTGGTGGAAGGTTGATGGAGATGATTTTTCGTGAGACATTGTGGGGTTTATGTTTAGTAGTGTCCAGTAATGCTTCAAAACAAGATAGGAACACACTATCAAGCAATTATAATTGCACTTGCTATGCGTTCGCTGATAGGATGGTTGAACATATAAAGCACCCAAAGAATGTTTTGAGTAGTATCTTGCGGTTGTACGTGATTTTGAAGACGACCAGCTGAAAATTTGTGGCTGTGCATTTTTTTGGTTGCCTGCTTAAAGCTACCTAGGTACCTATCCATAGATTGTCTGTCATACGAAGCGACTTTCCTTGCACAATTCAGTATTTGGAAATAAAATAAAGCGCAAGTCTGTTGTCCTAAAAATGAAAATGGGTCATAGCTCAATAGGTCATGGGTCATTGGTATTGTCCTTTTTATTCCTTTTTAATTCCTTAGCAAATTAGTCTATCATCATAGTATCATCACCATCAACAGCTGGTCCTGCTTCTTCAATAACTACACCACGACCACGTCCTGCTAGCAATTCCCTTCTAACCTCAGGACCGATCTGTGAATGTCCCTTGACATTAATCAAATCTAATAGCGACTCTCTCTGATCTTCTGTAATATCATTTCTATATCTTTGTGCAAATGCCAAAAGACATTGATGCCAAATAACTGGTAGTTTCGCATCTTTAGAACTGGTAACACCTTCCATTCCGGATCCAAGGTCTTCGGGTCGAACACTGGCTGGGTCGACACTTCTAAATCGCAGGAAATGGAAAACCAACGCATCGATGACTTGGTATGGAAGTGCGTATTTCTTGTCAAGCAAGGCCTTGATAAAAATGTTTGTAGCTCCACCACCTTCGGTCCCGGCTGATGATTCTTGAGCTGCAATATCGCAAAGTCCTTTAATCGCAGCAGCGGAATGTAGGACTGGGATCGAAACTCGCACAAGTACGCCTGATATAATTCTGGCTTCACGTAGTGTGCAGGTACCACTTCCGATCAATGGGAAAAGGAATCCCTTGAAAAAGGCGGCTGGCTTGTAAAGTGCCTTCTTCAAGGCTTTGAAAAGATGAACATTCAAGTGATTGGTTTCGAAAATATCCTCCCGGACCTTCTCGAGTAGGACCATTTCCACGAATCTTTGTGCGATAATTGGTGTCCTTGAGACGAATATTCTTGTTGCTTCGTAACAAGCATTTGGTGTCCACTTGTCCGGCCTGGTGATTTCGAGAATTTGTTCCCAATTTGGTACTGTAGGTAGAATCTTGAATGGTTTCGGTAATTTTCCTGACTTGTATCGCGATAATATCAAACCAATTCTATATTCTCGTTAGTATTTGGGCGTGATAAAGGCGAAGGTAGTCCTCACTTTGTATAAACTTCCAAAACCTTAGGATGGACGAAGAATCCATCATCTTCGGGTGCAGCACGTCCAACTCCAGGTTGTCCCGATTGTTTTGCTTCAAACTGAGCGATTCTCTCCAGAATTAATGCAGTCAGATCTGTGCCTTGTCCCCCTTGACTTTCGTCATTGTCTCCTCCCCAACCAACTTCCTTTAATTTTTGGTCTAGATCATCCTCGCCTTTCTCCGGGAAAAACTTTCCAAACGTATCGCGGTCTTCTGGCGCCAATTCGACTAATTCTGGAACTTCATCATCATCTCCCCATTCTTCACCATCCTCATCTCCAAATTCTGGCTCATCCTCCTCATCTTCATTCTCAAATCTTGAATCAAAATTAAAGGCTGCATTCGGTTTTGCTGCTTGAGTTTCGGCTTCGTCTTCATCGGCAAGTTCTTGACCTATCTTTAAAATCCTCCGCGAAGATTTTGAATCCACGAACTTTTCTTCCTCATCCTCATTTCTAGACTTTCTCTTCCCGGATTTAGTTTTGAGTGGACCACTGGCTGTCAAATCTGCTTCAAGAGGATTATGCCTTCTTCCGTTTCTGGCGAGTTCTTTTGGACTCATTGCTTTGGGCATTTTGTGTTTTGGGGAAATTTTGTGAAATTTTGGTGACGGATGGAATTTCTTTCTGCGAAATCAATTGATAAAATTGAAAATGTTCAAAAATATTAGCGGAGGTTGCCGGAGCTAAGATAAGGATTTTCCCCGCCGAAATCTTCAGTGCTAAGTGCCTTACAATAAATAGTTCATGCCTGATATCATTGATCAATTAATCAGCGTCATCCCATCTGTTTTGGTCAGCTGATCAACACAAGTGAGGGGAATCAATCGTACTTCAGTTCGTCCTACTGTCCACAACGAACCGTTTGTGATATATTGAGAGACAAACAGCTCACACTAGGTAACAAATATTCATGCAAAGACGTTATAGTCTTCTCATGTTGAATGACTATCGCTGCTTAATGCTTCGGTTGACTACTTGCACATACTTCACATGACAACGCTCATGATGACGTCTCAAACCGCTATCGATACTTCTTATCTCATAGTGGGCTCAGGAGTCCTTGGTACATCAACTGCTTACCATCTCTCACTTGCACACCCCACGTCATCCATAACCCTCTTGGATCGTTCATCCTCCTTTCCATGTTCGCTTGCTGCTTCTCATGATTACAACAAGACTGTTCGTGCCGATTATGAAGATATATTTTACTGCGAGTTAGCGCTCAAAGCCCGTGAGATGTGGAAGAATGATCCATTATATAAGCCATACTATCATGAGTCTGGCTTTGTTATCGTTGATGATACCGGTCTTGACGAAGAATCATTGATAATTATGAAAATTTGGGCGTCTCCGATCATCAAGCTAGGATTATTAGACCGGATGAAATGAAAAGTTTGTATGGTGAATTTTTCAAAGGAACGGACTGGAGAGGTGTGAAAGAAGTTTTCATCAATGAAGGTAGTGGATGGGCTGAGGCTAAAAAAGCAGTTCGCAAGGTGACCGAGATGGCAATGGCGAATGGTGTAAAGTTTGTCAAGGGAGACGTGGAGAATCTTGTTTTGACAGTGGACGGGGATTGTATTGGCGTAATGACGAAGGATGGTAGGACTTTTCGCGCAGACAAGATCATATTATCAACTGGAGCAGGTACAGCGAAGTTGCTCGCAAATTCCGCGCCGCAGATGCATCACCTCCTGGCTGAGGATCGGATTACAGCAGCTGCAATTGTTTCTGGCCATATAAATTTGAGTGAGACTGATTACGATAGGATCAAAGACACCCCTGTGTTCGATCATGCAGTCGGGGATGTCTTAGGTAAGTGGTAGCTAAATTGAAGGTCAAACAACGATATTAAATCTCAAATAGGTGCAGTACTCCCTCCCACTGATGGAATTCTCAAATTCTATCTGGATGCCACTCTCAAAAATACATCACTACATGAACGCTCAGGTCATATGATATCAGCTCCGCCTGATGAAGCCGACCAAGCGCAACATAACGTTCCCAAAAAGCTCCAGAAGGAATGTTATCGAGTAATGAAAGGGATTTACGGTGAACTAGCTGAAGATCTGAAATTCGATTCTTTTCGCATGTGTTGGTATGTTGGATCAAGGCATTTGCTTCTCTTAAAATCTAATGCGGTAATTAGGGATGGGATTACCCCGGACCAAGATTTTATAATCTCGGCACATCCACGATGTCAGAATTTGCACATTGCCACGGGAGGTTCTTTTCATGGGTGGAAATTTCTACCAATCATTGGAGATTACGTTGTTCAGATGCTTGACAATAAATTGGATATTAATCTTCTCAAGCGATGGGCATGGGATCGTGATCAAAAGAGAAGTGTACATAAGAAGTTTGTTCCCAAACGAGAGCTGAAGGATTTGATATGACTTGAAAGTACGCTTTTTATTAATGACTAGGACTAAAACTAGGAGATCTAACAATATATCGCAGAGCTGATGCAGTTCAAGTGCCCGATTGTAATTTCCTTTGCGCGAAAAAGAAAATACACATTGGGAGAACTCGTTTGTCTGAACAGTAAGAATGATCCAGCTCTGACTTTTGGCTTCTTCGGAAAATCATCTAAAGGAGGATTTGGGCTTCTCCTGGCTGGATGGTACCGTTTCCGATAGCATATCCATGAGCACGGGCAACCAAGGAGTATGGAACTAAGTATCTGGACATATATTAATATCTCTTTATTCCTTGGAAATGGTGATTTGTTGACTTACTTGTCAAGGTATGGGAGGACTTCTGCGGCACCAGGAGTGTTTCTCCAATCTCTCATCAAATCCATGGTAATTCCAAACAATCCCATGAGATGAACACCGGCTTGTTCCATACGTCGGTTGGCATCCGAAGCCAATTTGTCACTGAAAGTACCACTTGCTTCGGTATTGGCCCAGACATCATAGCCTGCCTCAATAAGTGAGAGGGCGAGGAAAGAAGTACCTGTTGATTTGCATTAAAATGGGACTTCGAAATGTAATATGGGTAAAGGTTTGACTCACAAACTTCGGTGACGATTCCACCAATGATCAATTGTTTCTTGCCAGTGGCTTCAACAGCGGCACGGAATTCAGCATTGTCCCATGCATTAACTTCTCCTTGGCGCTTGATATAAGGAGCAGTTGGGTGCATCTATCATAATCAGCACTGATTCGGAATGATGTGTCACCTCATGGTTACTCACGGAAATGATTTCCTCTGGGAGATTGCTGTTTGGTCCTTGCTCAGCGGAAGTGGTCAAGATGGTTGGAAGATCGAAAAGATTTCCAAGAGCTGCATGACCGAGGAGTGATTGTCTGAAGACAGTTGGATCATAATCTCTCACGAGTTCGGAAAGTCCAATTTGGTGATCAATGACAAGAAGAGCGGCATCACTCTTGTTGAGACGATCAAAGGTAAAACCTGATGAGTTGTTAGCATTCGAGTTCTGGTTGCAAAGTTTGAAAGTAGCAGTCTATACTGTACCTTCAACGGCAATGGCAGAGGCCAAGATCATGGAGGTAGAGAACTTCATGTTGTTGATGGAAATATATAGATTGAGCTTTGAAGTATTGAAGTGAGTCTGATGATGAGATGAGTGATAAGGATGATGAATGAAATCGTTGGAAACTCTCTTCCTCTTATACACAAACTCTTGAATACCAAAAGTCCTCGAGGCGACAACAGTACTTCAATATCTCGATATGTCTTACCGACCTAGATCCACCTACCTCATCACTCACAAGGAAGTAATCAGAATACCGGGCCCCTAGTTGTGCATCTAGATGATTCAATCTCCGTCACAATTTACAATTTTCTAGTAGTCTCCACGATTTCCATAACTTTACCCAACGATCAGCCCGATAACCGATGGCAGATTCACCGTCACACCAAAATCACCACCATCAACGCCCAAAACAAAGTACTACCTCGACTTACCTTTGAATCTCCTCCGATAGCATCAAGAGGCTCGCTTCAAAACGAGATATTTCCCCTCCGGGCACCTGGTCCGCGGGCATTAATCGTGTGGAGAGCATTCATGCAAAGACTTTACTCAGCGCAGAAACCATCAAGCTTAATGCAACAGCTTCTAAATGAGTAAGCAGATGTTTTCTATCTACAACCGAGTGTAGAGTAAAACGCGATTAATTACCATTCTTTTACAAATGCACTAGCACGGAAAATTTTCTGTTTCGGGAATAGTCAAATTTTTGATCATGCAAAGTATGAGCTGATTGGATAGAATAGTGAATAGCTTGGTGCTGGTGCTCCATAATTCTTGATGAGTAACGATCGTTAAGAGAGATGTCAGCAATTGACAACAGTTGATCGATGCTAATTCCCCATGTGCAATAACCTTATGGCTTGGCGAGATTTGGTAAGAACCTTCAAATGGGTTACTCAGGTACGGTAAGCAGATTGATGAAATGAAGAGGGTGGTTATTAATCGGAGTGCAGCGATGCCCAGATCACGGGATGGGGAAACTTTATGGTGTGTGTTGTATATTATACTTTGTGTAATGATTGGGAAATCATTAGGGAGATCTTGGTAAGTGCATCGTGTGGATGTTATAGGGTCGTGAATTTACTTGGATGTGGGTTTCATTGATGCGTTCGCGTTGTCGACATCTAGAACTGATAATTTTTTATATGTCGAATAAATTCCTCTGGCCATGTACGCATATAGTTCAGAGATGATGGTTCTGAGTAAATTAAACATGGAAGGCTTGAGTGATGCTTTGTTTTTTAAACTCTTCACAAAAAGATTCATTTTTACCCAAGGACTAAACGATCCATTGAAATTGGGTGGGCGTTGTGGAAGTTGTGTGATGTAAATGAGTACTTGCAGTATCTTCAGTATTGCTTTTTCCATTTCACATAGGCATATTTTAGCAGACTAGGGACTAGATCAGGAAGTGGTTTCAAAATTCTCGTTAACTGCTACTTCATCATACTCCCTATACTTGTCATCTTTTCCATACTCAGACATCCAGAAAGAATCGAGTATGTTCTCCTCTAACTGCGATATTAAACTCTCCGCCCGAGTTCTCTGAATATTAAGAGGAAAAACGATTGTCTCGTCACTTCGTACTCATTTAGATGGCTAAGAGATGTTGTGACAATAAACAGAAACTAGCATAAAGTTTGATCTGGAAAAAGGTAAGTCTTTGCACGGAACTCTCCATGTTGCCACGGTGAGTGGAGGTCTAGAAATGGAGGGATACTTGCGGTCAAGGTAGGAGTGAGTAGTATTACGGGAGTCTACGCGGTGTCTAGAATCCTGAGTGCTATGTCAGTCTTTACTGATTGCTCGGTAATATTTAGTATTTACTGGAGAAGAGTGAGGTATATGTACATTGATTTTGATTCATATAATTTATACCAAGGGCTCATATCGAGAACACCCTCTTCTCTCATTTCCTTTCAATATTGATTCATAAGTTATATATCTCCTTACAGCCTCCTATTTCATATTACCTCCTCTCCATTCCCAATCAAAATTTCGCGTCAATCCTCTGCTCTTCAACCCCCAATCCCTTCAAAATCTTCTCCAATGCCAATCAATGCCCTTCCATCATATCTATACCTGCCCGCTCTTCTCATCCATCAATCCAGTCGACGAGCCTGGCATCAACCATATAATCTCACTCTCATCTATTTCGATTCCATATCAAGCATTAAGAATTCGCAGAGTCGAAGACTTGAGTTGTTTAACACGAATTCTTGCATGTCAAGTATCGAAATTCTAAGTCTCAAGTGAATGAAACTCGCACAAGATGTTCAAAGTCCCCAGTCCTTGATACAACCTTGCAAAAGCACCCTCCTCTACACACTCAAGAGTACAATCAATATATATGCCAGTCAAAGTTCACCAGCGATAGTGTTCAATCAGCCCCCGTAATTGTAATTATGTAAATCTATGGCCTTTCAGAACCCGCTAAATGAATGTTGAATGATTCAAGACATGACTTGGTACAACTTGGGTATCATTATTCGAGTTATCAATTCTAGTTACATTGAATGATCCAGTATTTTGATAAGAGTATATTTAGGTGATATTTAGTCATGCAAGGCGACTTGGTGATTAATCGACTCGCGACGATCACTTACGTATCCAAATGACCATTATTACAGTTTACCTAATCCCATCGCGAGTTTCTCTCCATTCCTATTCCCCTATCACTAGTTCTATCTCTTTGGGACTTCGTAATTGACATCGAGACCTTCAACGGAGCATCTCTATAGGATGTACCATCGATAGCTCGCATAGCCTCTTCAGCCTCTTCGCGGCTGGCAAAATCAACGAAACAAAAGTTTCGTCTATCATCCAGATTGTTTTCACGAGGGCTCACCCTCTTACTCACTCCATCGCTAGAAAAGATTAACATGGGCAGTCAGATCCAAGATAGTGAAGAAAAACTTACATTTTGAAGCCGTCGAAGATAGATCGAAGCTCCAATTCATTCTCCGTTTGATCCAGCATTCTAGGCAACCCGCCAACATACAACTGTCTACCTTCTTCTTTGGCCTTTGAAACCTGGAAATGTCTCAATGCATCATTCGGTCCGCTGTGTCCCGCGAGTGTATCGTGTTGCGAGTCCCTAGCCCTCGAATCCCAATTACCCCAGCGATTGTAGCTAGAAGTGGTATTTTCACTACCTGTCCCATGATCTGGACCACCACGTCTGATGTCCCCCTTGGGGCGACAAGGACGACATCTAACCGGTCGACCCGATATTGTAAGACCCTCCAAAGTTTGCATAGCCTTATCTGCTACCTCCTTCTCTGCAAACTCGATGAAGCAATACCCTGGACAACGGCCCGTGAAAGGATCAATAGATATATGTAAATTATTGACAGAAGCTATGCCGTTCCTGGCAAGAAATGCATTAATGGCATTTGGCGTGGTGGTATAGAGCAAGTTCCCCAAGTAGACACGACGACCTTCTGCAATAGCCTGAAGAGTTCCAGGCGACTCTTCATTTTGCCGTTCCGGTCTGTGGACTTTCACGTCCTCGGCCCGGCTTCGTTCTGCGAGAGGCACGATAGGTTGCCTTTGACGGCGATCATCTCTAGGCGCTTGGTTGGACCAGTTTGTTGGTCTAGATTCAGAGTTTATATCTGCTGCGGCGCGAACCCTCCAGTTTAATGAATCGGGCATGATTGTGTTGCCGAGTTTAAGAACGTTTAAGAACCTCTGTCTGGAACGCAAAAGGAAAGCGAAAATGGTATAAAAGCGGGTTTCAAGAAGTGATAGACGTGTCTCTTATTCCTACTAGAGTGGAAGCTATTTAAGATTCTAGAATTCGATCATCTGAGATGAGTAGTCTATATGATTTAGCCTTGTGTGAAATTAGCAGTATTCACTGTGAAATCTGAATGAAAGGATCTCACAAAGAAAAACTTTGTGGATGGAATCATGTGACAATGAAGAAGCCTTTCCACATTAGTCAGCAAGGTCCTGGAGTCCACAGACATAGACTAGAATATATAGCTACAAGAAATCTCAATCAAATCATTCTAAGCACCCATCCCAAGAGCTATCTCACATGGCGGAAACTCTTTTCCATTCTTAAGCTTAGACGCTCGCCCAATGTAGAGCAAAATTGCAATGTATGTGTTTGTATTCCGAGTCCAGCATCGCTACGTAACATAATCTCGACTTGACATTAATAACCTAAAGTCACAGCGCTCTCTCCAACCACCTTATCATATGCTCCATTATTAAAACTCCACAACAAAATGTACACCAAAATCAAGACTACCCAACCATAATTGCATCACCATCTTCCGTAAGATCAACAACGACCGCTGTAGCAGGAATTGGTTGGCCGGCATGCGATGTGGAGACTGGACCACTGGCAGTTCTTTGGCCTAAACCAGAGTTATCACTTATGTCCACCGGGGTACCATAAGCATTCCTAGCAATAGGTTCAAGTCTCGACGGCAGACCATTGATACCAGTTCCGTGAGAGACCGTGGGATTCTGGATACTAGACTGACCGTTTATGGGCCTGTTTGTATCTGCCCTACTGGGTCCACACATACCGACTTCTGACAGCATAATAAGGTGACCTGAGAAGTTTTCTGCTGGCTCAGGATTAGGTGCTTTCCTGTCGAAGTTCAGCGTAAAGCATTCTTCAAGTGCTTTGAAATCTCCAAGATGTTTAGTTTCCTCATCGCTGAGCTTACCGCCATTGCTAGCAAGGTCAATGGTATCGGTTTCGCTTCTCAAAAGAGAGTTGTACTCTTGGTGTAGTCGCTCAGCCTTTTTTTCTTTTTCCAGAAGTTCGGCCCTTAGCGCAAAAATCTCTTTATTGAGCTTATCCTGACTACTCGCATTGTACTCTTTCATAGTGCTAATAGCATTGAGTCTACGGACCATGATTGGCTTACCAGATGCCTTCCGATCAACCTCCAAACAATATGCGAGCTTCTCTTTCCAGAGTTCGAACTCTGGAACGAAAATATCGTCTCGAAATATGTGTGCGATTTCCAGAGCATCTTCAATCATTGCCTTGATACTATCGATTGCGACCTGTGTAAGTCTATGTACCGCAAGATGGCGTATCCCAGTCACCCGCGCGAAGAGGGAATTAAGAGAAGTGCGTGCTTGACGACCAATAGCTTCAACTGGTATGTGACACTCGTTCAATGCGCCCCACCATAAGTTCAACTCTACATTTTCGGGACATTCCCATGTGTTCGCATTCAGCACCTCAGGAAGCCACTTTTGTACGAATCGGTAACACATCGACTCTAATGCAGTTTGCAAAGATCGAAGTATAGTTATTTGAAGTATGAAGGGCAATTGAGGGAGATTCGGTTTCCGCTGGGAATAGTGACCATGAGGTTTGTCTTTGAATTTTGGACGGACTAGAATGGAGTCGTTCAGATTAGCTTTATACAAAGAGGTTTTGAATCAGGGGTCAAGTAAATTCCTACCCTCCGAACGTAAGCTCCTGTCAGAATATCGCGCTCTTTTCAATCCTCTTGATCCATAATATTCAGGTATTTGGCCTCGACCTGATTTAGCGTCCTTGCATTGAGGTTTTGGAAGATGAAGTTGATCTGGTCTAGTTGGTACAATAGACGAATCTGGGCGACAGAGAACGACCTTTTGGACAGTCGTTTTATCCTTGGTTGTCTTTGAGATCTTTCCCCCTTGAACTCTTGGGTTTGATCTTATTGCCCGTCTATCTCTATCCACAACCTCTTCAACGGGCGTCAGGTTCTGTGCTTTACCAGATTGCTTTTCGTCAGATTGCTGTAACATTTATGATTAACAAAAAGCACTTTGCAACTCAATAAACACTGATCAAACAACACCAACCTTTGCATTATTGATCAGTTGCCTGTCAACACTCTCCTGATCATCATCACCATTACTAGATTCTTCAGAAGATCCATCATCTGAAGAAATTTCAACGATTTCTGTAAAATTGACAGCAGTCTTTGGAGCAGCTGCAGCTTCATTCAAAATGCTTGTGTGACAAGAACGTTGTTTAGCAGCATCGTTTGCATCTTTCATGATTGTATCCATGATTTCAGTTGTTACCAAAAGTCGAGATTGGAAGTCGAGGTTGAAAGAAGGGTTTAGTTGTGGAAGAGAATAGATAAACAATAAACTATATTGGTAAATTGGTTGTTGTGGGAAGTCGGAGGTCGGGACTCGGAAGTAATGAGGCCAGTGTGGTCCGAAATAGACATAATATTCACTTTCTCATTGAGTTTCTCCTTCCTACCCCGTGATGAACTAAATCTGATACTGCGGCCTATAAAGGAAAGAGTGAATGGGCAAAGGAATAAAATGAGATCAATATTCATTAGCTAGAAAATACTTATTATATGAATAAGATGTAGAAAGCGTGCAAACTACTTTGCTTCAAATTGGTATACACTTTGATTATATATATACAACTATATATAATGCTTCCGAAAGACAGATTTACTGTACTCACTTCCATCAGCAAGAACAACTCTTCATTGCTGTAAATCGTTCTACCCATCACAGGCCTGACTTCTGAATGATGAATTTGCTATGAGCAACAAACACGTGATAGAATAGACTCTGTCTTTATCTGCTACTATTGCATTACACAGAATCCGCTGGATATACAAAGAGTCACAATTCACTTACAATTCACTCACGAAGATTCGGGTCATGTGCCCCGAATCTATACAGCCCCTCCATCTAACCTCTTGCCCCTTTCCTCTTTCATCTCTCTCATGGCTCAAAATTCCACACCAGTCCAAAATGTTTTCATCTGCAGCCATGGTAGTGAGACTACTGAGGCTGCTATAAAGTCTACTAGGAAGAGATGAAAGGTTGGAGGACCATTAAGCGACACAAAACGCTTCTGTCCAATTGTTTTGATCCATGGAGTGGTTTGTATCTTTTTGTTCTTGAACAAAGTATAGAGTCTATATGGTTATTATCATGTCTGCCATGAAACGCAGGATAAAGTGTCTTTCTACATGACACGAACAAGATCTTGCGGAAAATCATAAGATCATCAATGCAGCTGATTCAATTCAATACCAAGTATCATCCTTAGAGTGAAGGCTGTCAAGACGATTATATTACCAATCAGTACCCAATACATCAAATGGATTTGTTGGCTTTTTGTTTGCTGTACCAGTTCGATTCGAGTTGTCCCGCTTCCTTTTCTTCTTTTGCTTAGATGTTTTCGCAGAAGTGGCAGTAGATAATTCAATCGTTTGACTCGAATCTCCAAGAATTGTTTCTTTCATCGTCCTTAAGATGGAGTCCATTTGCTCGAATCCAATGAGATCACTAAGACATGGCAGGTCTTGAAGCGTATCATATAATTGCAACAATGGTAAAGGGACTGAGTTACGGCCACCAATCAGGATCAAAAAGGTTATCATCTGCTTCAAGATTCTGAAAGAGTAATGAGATCCTTGGATTTGGGCTATGACATGTATCGTATCCCAATCCCACTCACTTGTCTTACGGATAGTGTTATATGGTTCTGAGATTTGGAGTCCAGCCAAAATCTTCCTGCCCAGGCTTACTTTGTCTATCGACTCCGACCACTGGGCATCTTGTGTAAATGAGATTAAAGTCCAATGGTCAGTAATGCTTTGTCCTTTGGACTTGGACCGTGACTCGCGAAGAAAGTTTAGAATTTCAGTGCAAGCCTCTGGAATGTCTGAAGCACCTGGAATTTCCCACTCCCTCCCGCGCGAAGCATTGGCTTGTCGTTTATTCTCAAAAACGGAGGTCCTCCTCTCTTCGACTGGAAGTACTAGATTGATGCAACCATATGCCAATTGTCGGATGGATGTGGACATCTCCCAAGCATTGGTTCGAGATGGGGAATCAATGAGAAATGGAAGAAAAATGTTGATGTTATTTGCGCCATCCTGGGAGCCGCTTGAAGATTGGGAAAGGTCAAGACATTTCATAAAATAAGGAAACTGAAGAACATACTCACAAATACGAGGATCAAGAACTTGCAGAGCAGTCTTCACTTCAGAAGGTTTGACCAGCTCCGCACTGAGAGTGGCTACATTAATTTCCACTGGCAAATACTCCTTGACAAAATCTTCATACATTTTTTTGTGCTGATTGATGGCGGTTAACGCAATTGCCTGTTTCAGTAACTTGGAAAAGCTACCATGACAATCCATGAAGATCTCAAAGGCAAGAGCACGAATACCATATGAAGGGGGAAGGCCTAATCGCTTGATGATGGATCCAGCATGAAATATTTGGGACTGTAGCATCCATGAATCGGCCTTGGATGAAACTTCAACATCTTGAAAGAAGCTCACAGAACTGTCGGAGCCAATTTCATGAACAAGAAGGTCGGAATCGCCAGTGAGAATGATTCCACCATATCGGCTAACGTAGCTGGCACAATATGTATCTGCTTCCCCAGGAACAATCGTGACGAGATGTTTGTATTTGTTAGAGTTTTGTAAAGCTTCAATTATTGCAGGTACGAGAAAGGATGATGCTGGAAGCTTTGTGAAGTTGGGACGCTGGGGGGAAAATGCGAAAGGAAACGATGTAGGTATAGTTCGGCTTGTCGATGAAAGTCGGTACCTCAAACCAGACGCGTATTCTTTGTGATATTTCTCCAGTTGCTGCGTATTTCGATTAAGCCTTTGGTAACGAACATCTAATTTGGCTGGGGGTAGGTACCCGTCAAAGTATATCCTTTTCCTGCTACAAGTTAGTATAATGCAGAGAAGCTTATAGTCCCGTAGAACTCACACAACAGCATCATTCCGTTCTAGGCCATCCAGCCATGCCAGTACAGTATCTCCGAGCTCTTTATATGATGGATTTGCTTCAAAGTAGTTTCCCGCGGACTTTTTGGTACCTAAACATATATGATAGATATGATATGCCAAACCGGGACCGTCAATCACAATATCATTGCCCTTTAACGAATCAAGAGTTGCATAAGGACGTAAGAATGTTATTAGATGTGGAATTCCCATTGCTTTAGTGGCGGCAAGAACGTTTGTACATTTGTGATATTTGGTTGTATTAATTGATTGATAGACTGGCTCGAAATGTTTGAATTGAATGAAGTGAGCCCTGTTCAGAGTGAGGTTTGCGTGAAGAAATGATAAATTTTGGTGAAGGGATGGATGAACATTTGATTTCATTGTCATTGATTGATTTCCCAAATTTCAGCCCAAACCCCCGCTAGTGCAATCAACCCCACTACATATCCTGGATCTCTCGCCAAAACTTTTTCTTTTCCTCTTGACATTGAAAAAGCATCTTCAAGCAAAAAAACAACATTACCCAAGATGCGCAATACACTCATCTTCGCCGGCAGCTCATGCCCAAAGCTCACAGATCAAATATGTACGAACTTGGGAATGGCTTCGGCCCCAGTCGAGCTTACTCAGTTCGCAAATGTACTGTTTCTCAACTCCCAGAGAAGCAAGCTATTCAGCTAATAAATTCCAGGGGGAGACAAGCGTCAAGATCATGACGAGCATTCGAGAGAAGGATGTATTCGTCGTTCAATCGGGTAGCTCTAAGATAAACGATAGTATCATGGAGCTTTTGATCATGATATCTGCTTGCAAAGGAGGATCCGCGAACAAAATTACAGGTTCGTGCGCCGAATTCTATTTCTTACTATCGCAAGACTTAATTGCTAACTTCTACAGCTGTTCTGCCATACTTCCCATACAGTAGACAGTCAAAAAAGAAGTCACATCGAGGAGCTATCACTGCTCGTATGCTCGCAAATCTTCTACACGTTGCCGGAATTAATCATGTCATTACTGTCGATCTCCATGCTTCACAAATGCAAGGCTTCTTCAAATGTCCCGTCGACAATCTTCACGCGGAACCATTGATTGCACGTTGGATTCGGCGCAATGTGCAGGAGTGGACTGAGGCTGTTTGCGTTTCGAAGAATGCTGGTGGCACCAAAAGAGTAACATCTCTGGCAGATGCTCTGAAACTCAATTTCGGAATGGTCACAACAGACAGAAGACGAACCCCCGCAAACATGTCAATGAGTATGATCATGAATCAAATCGAAAACTCTACAGGCGAAGATTTGCATGGAGACATCAACAAGCTACATATTGGCGCATCTCCTGCAGCGGAAGAAGAGACGGCAGAAGAGCCAAAACATGACGGAGAAGCAGACCCTACCTCATCAATGTTACTGGACGGTGATTCAGTCTCACATCAGACAAGAGCCCGTCAAGACAGTCACCCCTCTCCACCACAACGTTTGCACAACGCGCCATCTGCCATCAGATCTGGGCATCGGAATTCCGTTGGAGCATCCTCGCCTTTGATACGAGCACACACTACCCCCGCACCAAGATCTACACCAGTTGATGAAGCGATTGAAGCGCAGTATACTGATGAGCGTGCTCGAGAGGTCACCCATGGCCGATTGGTTCAAGGTCATATCGTCTCAGATGACTATCCTTCGCCTACACAATCCGCAATGTCATCTTCATTAATTCTCGAACGTCCCGAAGATGATCCTATGTCGATTTCTATGGCATCTTCAATCTTTAATCCTGAGCCACACGCATTAGGTGGAACAGCAGACGCTGCTGGTGATGTATCGGATGAGGAAGAAGAAGGCTTTAAAGACCCAGGTCTCGAACAGATGATTACATTAGTAGGAGATGTTCGAAATCGTACCGTCTTCATCGTTGACGATATGATTGATAAAGCTGGCAGCTGGATCGCCGCAGCTGAAACAGTCGTCAAACGCGGTGGTGCCAAGAAGGTCTATTGTATTGCTACGCACGGCCTCTTTGGAGGAGATGCTCTTGAAGAACTCCAAAACTGTGACTGTATCGACACCATTGTCGTTACAAACTCATTCCCTATCCCTCCAGAGAAGGCAAAAGATGCAAAGAAGTTGCAAATCTTAGACTTATCAAAGCTACTCTCCGAAGCCATTAGAAGGAATCATTATGGAGAATCTATTTCTGCTCTTTTTACACATTCTAGCGATTAGATTTCTGGTTTACGATCGTATGATTAATATCAAAATCAATCTGCAATTTGCTATATTCGAAGATTTATACCCATAGCGTGGCGTACGGTAGCGGAAAGACGGAAAGGATCATGACTGAATAAATTGCTTATTAGCAAACGGGACGGGATTGTATTTTCTTGGAAAGAGAATTAACGGCGGCGCAAATTCATAGAACCAGGTGTTCTCCACGTCTCGTCCTTGAGTCCTTCAGGTGCAGTGATACATTTTGATATTATCATCCTAAGTATATCTCTTTTTTCCTCTTCATTCGTCCCAATTCCCTTCTCTCGCGTTCATTCTGAAGAGTTGATACCCAATCTACACAGGAATGTTTCCGGCCTTTCATTCAAGTTTCCCTATATCTCTTGTATTATTGTTTTCCTCATTCCTTCTATCTTTTGATAGACACCCAGCGATGCGATCTATAGTGGTTGCAGGGGCATATCTTTCCTTTAGAAAGATGTCCTTAACGGAGCGTTGGTAGATTAAACACAACCTTGATATATCTATAGTTGCTCTTGTGACTGATATGGAGAGACGATGCTTGAAGGTGCTTTATTGAAATATGATCGATAAAGGGCTGGATTTCTTTCGAACATATGGCTATTTGTGTGCAATGAATATTGCGTCGGCGATCGGATGGAACTAGAGGGGTAGTAAGGATTTAGTAAATAGATAGATATATGTGAGGATTTATGAGAAACCTCACAAAATAAAAACATCGATACAAATCTGATTGCAACATACACATCATTGTTAAGAGAGCATCGAAATTAAATGATCAGTGTACATGCATGTAAATCCAACTACGTTCTACAGTATATAGTTGCTTATTTACAACATTGTGCAGCGCCGTACCTCATCTGAGTTCTGTACATGCAATACTACCCTTCCACTATGCTCCAGGACGGGAATAGTCTAATGCCTCCACCCTCTTCCATACTTCTCTAACTACACGCTCTTGTTGTTGTCTTCCTGTTTCGGTGGGCGTATCGCCTGCTGGTCTAGAGAGGAAAGTGGTTAGTTATTAAATTCTTCTGACCGGATTGGTAAAATACAGGGTGTATGGAGTTCAATTTCTCGAGGGCAATGAGAGAATGAACATACCTAATAGCTAGGTACAATCGACTACCCAATCTGACTTCTTGGATAGGATCAGTCTCGAGGTTGGCGGGAGGATTCGCGGTGGTTATTAAACCGCCGGCTTCGCGGAGAATGCAAATTCCTGCTGCTACGTCCCTGGGGTGTGTGTTAAGTTGATGTAGAAAGTAGAATTACGAATCGAATGAGTTGACGAACCATTCCCAACAACCGCCTTCCCACCAAATATCGAAAGCTCCAGTTGCTGTGTATGCTAGATCCATCGTTGCACTAAATGTCACAGAAGGGTTAGTCTTTTGATTTCTCGTCCTCTCCATCATAGAAGATGGAGATGCGAAGGAATGACTCACCTCCCCAAACTCCTGACCCCATGAACCATTCCTCCTTTTCCACCTCTACCTCCGATCTCAGTAGCCAGGTTTACAAAACTATTAATCTTCTTTCTCAAATTTCCTCCCTCGATATCCCTCCTATCCTTCCCCCACTCACAACTAAACGTACAACCTTTCGGCGCTTCTGGTCCTAGAGGCTTTCCTTTTACATATGGTAACTTCCTCTTTCTCTTCAAACTGCCGGACGCGAAACTAGAGCCGCCCGATGGAGTCCCATCACTAGCTCCCACATGATCGTTTTCCCAAGCGCCGTGTCCGGCTAAAGCAGAATATGAGACATCGAGAATTGGAGCGTAAATGACTCCAATGATGGGGATACCGTTGATACAAAAGGCGATGGAGATACAGAACATAGGGAATAAATGTGTGTAATTCACTGTTCCGTCGAGAGGGTCGACGATCCAAGTTGGGGAGTCATCAACGAGGTATTGTTTGGAGGAGCCGGAGGAATAGGTTTCTTCTCCGATGAATCTGGGCATTGTGAGCTAGCTTTTATGAATGAAGGGGACAGTGTTTACTTATGTGAAGGATATCGACTTAATATCTCATGCTTAACAAATGCTTCAACATCTATCCATTTCACGTGATCAGTATATCTCTTTTCAATCCCGCCATCCTGACGCATCAAATAGACGTATCTTCCCCCCTCAATACCCAGCGTGAATGACTCGAAGACATACCCAAATCAGTTTGTGTAACGATGTCCACCGCATTCATTTTTTCTTCTTCCTTCCCACCCTCATCGCCTTCACATCTCTTCTCTACCCCGTCCATCAACATTTTGCCCGCTCTCCTCCCCAAGTCTAACGCAAACGCGTAGATCTCTTGGAGTTCTGCATCTGATATCTCATCGGCCATTTTGTTATTTGCTAACCTCTAGATATTAATTGGTGTCTAAACTGCACCGGAGGAAGGAGACTTGTCTTGGATGGCTCACAATAAAGAGGCTTAGGTATGAGTAGGTAGGCAGGCACGCGGATGAGTAAGACTTGATAGGTCTGATAGTGGGGTTGTATCAGGAAGGATTGGAGGCCGATGATAGGCGTGGTGAAGCGTCGTAGTGGGATTGTGTGGTGGGGGTTTTATGCTGATTAAAGACCTAGATATCGAGAAGCCCGTCGATCAGTGGTGTTTGTTGGTGTAGAGATTTACAAATACAATTCGGATCCGAATAGGAAGTTTTATTCCACAAGGAGGTATGATTTTCACTTAGGAATCTTGGTGAGAAAGAAATATGGATGTTCCAAATTGAGTTCATTGCTTGAGTATAATCTATCTTAATCTTACATACAGCCCATGCAACCATTTATATTTTAACCACAAAGTCTTATCACATTTCTAAATAGCCAAAATCGTTACACTTGATCGTGACGTCTCTCGGACTTGTGTCCTACGCATACATTTAACCTGGAAATCACGAACTCGCGTGCTTCGCCCTATCATTCGCTAATTTATCCAAAACAACAGTCCTTACCTCCTTTACCGGTAACTGCTCAAGCTCAACTCCCAGCCAAACCTTATCTTGCTCCAACCCCTGGTTAATCATCGCTTCTACACCTCCTACTACCTGCCATCCAGCTTTTGTAGCTAGTGCTGCAATCTGTGTATCGGGACTTGGATGATAACACATTTCTAAAATTACTCCCTTCTCTCCCTCTTTCCCTAAGAATTCTGTAATGATTCCTCGCGCTCTATGCTCATCGTCGGATATTGGTGTAAAATCTGGAATTGCAGAGATGATTACTGTGGGTGCTGCTAAGTGTTTCGCTTGTTCTACCGACTCGATATACAATAAATTGTCTCCGAATCCGTTACTGCTGCATTCCGCAATCACAGCGTCGCATTCAGATTTATCCCGATTGACCATGTATACGGTCTCGCAACCGAGGAATTTCTTCAATGCGTAGACGGCTGCTCGACAGGTTCCTCCACCTCCGATAACCATACCTGCCGAACGTTTTATACTTGATATTGTTGCTGCTGATGCGTTCTGAAGAATAGCTTCGCGGACACCAATACAATCGGTGTTGGTTCCACAAAGAATCTTCTCACCAGAGGGTGATGTGCGGTGGTAGATAGTATTAATGGCACCAATGGCAGCGCCCTCTGGTGTAAGCTGGTCGAGGAATGGGATGATGGCTACTTTGAAGGGCATGGTTACGGAAGCGCCGAGAAATTTGGGGTCTTTAGTGAGTTCGATACAATCTTTCAGGTTTTGTGTCTCATATAGATATTGGAGGTAGTTGAGGTTTAATGAGCGGAAGATTGTGCCATGGACTGGTGGTGGGATTATTGGTTAGCTGGAGACCTAGAAGGGAAAAGAAGGAGGTGCATTGTGAAAGTTCTTGTAGCTATGCATAGAGCATTGAATTTTCAAGGTATGAATGATCGCTCTCTCGAATGCAGCAAGCTCTGGGGATTTGGGGCATGTCCCCATAGGAGTGATGCTGGGTGATGAACAGCTTTAAAGCAGATGGTGTGATGGAAGATTCAAGGATTTGAACTCACATAGAGGGGAGAGAGAATGCGCAATTGGATACCCAAACAGGTATGCAACTCGACCCAGGTGGGAGATATCCGGGGGCGGGGTCTCCATCATTCCGGAGGGAATGGTGGCGTCAACGGTGCTGGTGATTGTTTGTGACATAGCTGCAGATAAAACTTAATATTCAATAAATTGTTGCAACTCAAATCGCGTATCCAAAAAGATATGAATCTAATATGAATAAGGTTATGATGGATTGGAGTTGGGAATGATGAGGAGACGAATGAGAGCGGAAAAGTTATTTCGAGAGATAACCGAGGAAATGGAGCTTCTGAAATCGTGGAGATATCTTGTTATCGATGGAAGAGCAGAGATGAAACAAACAAGTCAACGGGAAAAGAATTGTATTCTCTATGAGCCAAGTCTCAGGGTCTAATGGCATTAGCCCGTGAGCAATTTAATCAAGTTTATACTTTGTCCAGCTAATTGGTTTGATGTCAATTCCATACGTCTTGACCTGTAAGAAGCTTTGCAATGCGCGGAAATACATATAAGCGTCGCAAATTCATAATCTGGAAGGTTGAAGCAGAACCCCACCAAAATTTTGTACACACAATGCACAGTTTCATGCTTCTCATAGATTTGTTTGGATGAGATCTGATTTGTGAAATCAGAACCCTACTCTTCGATCAACCCGCAAATTTCTTTAGCCGTCCGTGAACACCATGAATGATCCCACACGACGTGGGGTAGGGTTTGACTCAATTGAACCAATGATTAGCTAGAAGCCCCTTGCCGTGAATTTTTAAGCGACGGCACTGTACATTTCAGCGATGGGTTACTATTTGAGGTTAGTGTTCCCGAAATAATTGTTTCTTAGCTGCTCTTTCATTGCAGTTTGGTCGGAGCTTCCAGTTTCTTGTCTACGCCATCAACGTCTCAAGGTTTAAGTAGAGCTATAGCTAAGAACCAAAGGCTTGCTTAAATGTCTTGGGGTGGCGGTGTTGGCTACAGAGGAGTGAATTCGTGAAAGAACAAGTGATTCAGAAAGCCATGGCATTAAGATATGTCGGGTAAATGTTTTGGGAGGTTAACATCTCAAGATACTGCCAGATTGGAGTAAACAACGAAGAAATTGATCTTTAGGTTACAAGTTGCAGCACATAATCAATATTTTGGAGCAGCCAGATTGATTAGTGTTTTATAAAGATTACCAGCCTCAACATTCCTTCCTTTCTTCATATTTAAATCAAATAGAACATTAATTTAAAGGGGCGAATTCCCCCGCTGATTCCCCATGGGGAGAGCTACCATGGTAACCCTTTCCACGTGCTAGCCAGGTCGATCGCCAATCATGTTCGTCTGTCGCACCCAGAAAAAAATATGGAAAAGGTCTTTCCCCTCAATTTTGATATTCTTTTCCGGGTCTCCCACACTCTCCCACACAAGATCTCGCTCCCCATCAAGTTCTCCATCTAAGGAAGTAGTCCACACCTGAAGTAACCTAGTAAGATCTCAATAAGCCAGCCAAATCCCAATCTTGAGTGCATGATGACCTTCAAATCCGCGCCTTCGCGCGCCAAATCTTCTTCCCCTTTCCACCCCATGGCATTCTGGACGCGGAACCTAAGCTAGGTCCTCCCTCGTGTGCTATCTAAGCTTCCCCACCAACAACCAAAAAGCAAGGTCATTTTGACTTTTGTCAATAGCATTGGCATAGAATTCGCCTCGCACGGAAGATAAAAACTCGCCAAGACACATACCAAAATGAACATGAATCTTTCATTCTACCCCAGAATACAACCCAGACTTCCCTGTCCAGTCCCAGGAAGACGGAGCCGTAAGCGTGGCCAAGAGTAAGTTCTGGATTGCCATCAAATTTTGAAGATTCACCATACCAAGTGTTATCTGGATTTTCTTCTTATAAAATGGGTGTTCCGTTACGAGTTGTCTTTTTCGTCTCATCATCTTTACTCTCTTCTATCTCTTTTCATATAAACGACTTGATTGTCAAGAATATCTAGTGATCTTTGGCAATTCTATTAAAGTTGCGATATCACAATACTACATTGCAATTGGGCAGGTCCAAGGGTTCAAGCTTGTGACTCACGTTACTTCGAAGAATTTTTTCTTCACAACGCCAAGGATTCTTGCGAGATCAGCAACTTCGAAATTTTGGCAGTATTGAAATAGAAAATCATTCAAGATGGGTCTTTTGACTTTGGTAGAAGGTATGATATCTTGAGGGTCCTTCGAAAGAGTAGCCATTGACATTCATCAGATCGGCCTACGCCAGCATGTGTCTACAACGCCCGCGTATATTTCTGCGCGACTGTGTAAGTGATTCCGTCCAATATGCATGAGTTCATCGATCTAATCTATCATACAGAGCCGCGTTTTGTGCAGTGATGATTGGATATGACTCCGCATTTATCGGCGGAACAATCGCTCTCCCATCATTCAAGAGCGAATTCAATTGGTCGCAATATTCAGCCGATGAAGCTCTCCTTATCTCCGAAAATATCGTCTCACTCTATCAAGCTGGTGCTTTCTTCGGAGCTCTCTTCGCTTATGCAGCTGGTCACTACTTGGGTCGTAAAATGGGTCTCCAAGTGTTCTCCGGCGTCTTCGTTGTCGGCGCTGGAATGATGTTGGGCGCCAATGGCGATAGAGGTCTTGGATTAATTTACGGTGGCAGAGTTTTGGCTGGTATTGGTGTTGGTGGCGCTTCCAATTTGACTCCTATCTACATTTCTGAGCTTTCTCCTCCTGCTATTAGAGGACGCTTGGTCGGACTGTATGAGATGGGATGGCAAGTTGGTGGCGTTGTTGGCTTCTGGATCAACGTAAGGTTTTACCTCTGTACATTTACGCGATTTCATTTATTGACATGTGAACAGTATGGAGTCTCAACTACTATGCCCGCAAACCACAGACAGTGGATCATTCCATTCGCTGTTCAATTGATCCCTGCTGGTCTCATGTTTGCCGGACTATTCTTGATCAAAGAATCCCCAAGATGGCTCATGAGCCGTGGTGATCGAGCAACCGCCCTCAAGAACCTCTGCTGGATCAGAAAACTTCCTCAAGATGATATCTACATGCTCGAGGAAGTATCCAGTATTGAAGCTGCTCTCGAACAACAACAGGCCACTGTTGGACTCGGCTTCTGGCAACCTTTCAGGGCTCTCGGCAATGATCGCAAAGTCATGTACCGTTTCGCTCTCGGCTGCTCTCTCTTCTTCTGGCAAAACACATCTGGTATCAACGCCATCAACTACTACTCTCCTACCGTCTTCAAGGAGATCGGTATCATCGGTACAAATGCCTCGCTTCTCACTACAGGTATCTTTGGTGTCATCAAGGCAGTTGTTACACTCATTTGGCTTTTCTTCCTTATCGACAACTTTGGACGCAGAAATCTCCTCATGTATGGTGCCTTTGCAGGAGCCATCTGTTTATACTACGTCGGTGGTTATATCGCCGTTGCAAACCCTTCTGCCAACCCTTCCACTACTCTTTCCGCAGGCGGTAAATCCGCCATGGCATTCTTTTACCTCTGGACCGCTTCCTACACTCCCTCGTGGAACGGTACTCCATGGGTCATCAACTCCGAGATGTTCCCCCAGCACGTCCGTACACTTGGTCAAGCATTCGCAGCCGCCAGTAACTGGTTCTTCAACTTCTTGGTTGCTCGTTTCACAGCACAAATGTTCAAAGCTATGGGATGGGGTGTTTTCATCTTCTTTGCTTCTTTGATGATGTGCAGTATCGTATTCGTCTTCTTCTTGGTTCCTGAAACTAAGGGTATTCCATTGGAGAGTATGGATAGACTCTTCAGCTCCGAATTGAAGGCCAGACATGCCCATGGTATCGTATTAAGAGAATTGAAGGAAGACGAAGAGGCCTTCAGAAGAAACGTAGAAGGAAGTGGAATTGGATTGGACAAAGAAGGAAACGAGAAGAGTGCTTATGTCGAAGTTGTCTAAAGTAGAACAGTATCTGGCCTGCTTTAAAGTAGGAAACTGGGCAACTCAAGGGATGGAGTCGACTTGTGTTTGGTTTTTGGTGTTTATAATGTTTTGGAGGCTGGCTTTTTGTTTTAGGGATCACCAGATGCACATTTCTGAGGAACTGCATCTATGATTGCCGCTTAGCATTACTACACGCATATATGTGTGCCTTGATATTAATGAGTTTACGAGTATGATAATATCAAGAATTTAATTTTCATCGAGAAGAGCATTGATGACTTGAAGATGATCCCCTTGATATGCACTGTGATCGCATATTTTGGTGCCATGTCATACCTTACCATTGATGTTGACAGGTACGGAACACCAGGAATCCAGATCATGAGGCACACAAATCTTAGTGAACAACTCAATGTGAAGGTTCTCCATGTCCGAAGAGGTGTGGACACTTGATGACAGTGAGTAAAAGGCAAGAAGGATTTGGCACCATCATGAAGAATTTCAACTCTTTTCCGCCCTTTAGTATCTTCAACAAACTATTCACCACCATCCTATCCGATTTCTGATGATAGACCATTCGGCAGAAGAGATGGATCGAGAATAATGGCCGGCTATGTTTAATTATGGTGGTTGTGCGTTTTTAACTTCAATTATTGGACAGAGCATAGATATTGTGATTGATCAATGAATCGCATTAGAGTCATGTTTTTACCATAAAATCGTTCATGTTCACGTTTTCTTCTTGAACAGATATCAATAGATTTACAGGAGTATACTTGGATCAATCGATGTGCTAGGCGATAGAACCGCCGATTATTCTTTCTGGATCAACAAGCTGGAACCGTTGCGAGAGGTATTTGCATAGGATGTGTGGTGATTGTAACAGCGAATTTTGCAATAGACCGGAAACAAAAAGTAAACGTTGGACATCCTGCATTTCCTTACTTCATTTACCCCGGTGTCCTTGGCTTTGGGATCTCCAAGAAATTTGCGGACGTCACTTTGAACATCCAGCCACATGCCAGCTTCACTCGGTGCATTCTACATGGAACGGTGTATATAAGTGTGTCAAATTTAAGTTCATCAACTAGCCCCTACCCCTATCCCTGACCCATAACCCCATTCCCCATCCAATTTTGTTGCTTCTTGGTGTCTCCGCTTTCCTTTCTCCACCCATGAAAACTCCACATAGCTAATATAAACAAGAATCCAGTAATGTAGTTTAACACCGAGTGGGCCATATCACCAAGTGGGCCATTATTTTTATATACAAAATTCGTTTGTGTATAACTATGCACTTTTTTTATTTATAAACAGAATTCTCTAAAAATTGAAATTAGAAAATTTAATTATATAAATAATATGAAAATCTAATTATTTATTGAAAATTCAAATTATTATAATAGTTATTATAGAAATATTTCTTTTATAACAAAAATCGTAACAATTTCTATTTTTTTTTTAGAAAATATAAGAAATTTTTATATCAAAAATAGATTTATAAAAAACCAAATTTTCATTATTATTTTATATTAATTTTCTTTTAAAAAATAATAATTGATTATTAAAATACAAATATTAAAAAAGTATTAATTTTGATATATTTTGAAGTGGCCCATTCGGTGATATGGCCTACTCGGTGTTAAACTACGTTACAACAACACGCTAAATCATGCACAATTTTATATACAATTTCATACCCATTATCATCCCATCCATGCCTGTCTATCTCCCTCTGCTTCCCCATATTTTTGATAATTTGAATATACCTCCATTCTCATGCGTCTCTTGGGCGCTTTGACACCAGTCATCAGCTCAAATTGAGCGATAGCCTGCTCGGGAAGGACTTCAAGGCCGTCGACTACTACCCAGGCGATTTTAGTTTCGGAGCGAAATTGGCGGATTTGAGAGAGGAGAGGAGTTGTAAGTGGAGGTTTATAGGAGAGCTGTTGTGGAATGTTAGTTAGTTTGCGGGATATAAGACGAAAGCGTAGAAATGATGAGTAGTTCATAAATTGCATCCAATACAAGGAGCGTATCGTGCTTCAACAATGATCTCAAACAAAGGATGAGATTCATTTAAGCGAATTAAAATGCATATAAATATGGAAAGAACATCTTCGATACGGAGTATGAGAATCACCTGGAGAGGGTTCTGGATACGAGTACTGAGGTAGAAAGACAAGATTAAAATACGTACCTCTACAACAACTCCACCGGTAGGACTACCCAGCCATTGTACAGGCATCGTGAAATTCGCTGGCGGTTGATCGCCCACACTTCGTGCCGGGACACAGGAGACAATCATAGTAGGCGGGCTAAAACCCTGTGGCCACTGCTCCTGCGATGATTGCAACACATGTACAATTTTGCCATGATTACTCAAACTAGTAGCCCACGAATTGAAGTGATCAGCAACTCTCTGAGCATTCTCAAGTGTTCGGTTGAATAAGAATATTTTGCGGCAGCCGAGTTGAATCATGGCATACACAGCTGCTCGTGCCATACCACCTGCACCGATCACTAGTCCCGTTGTTTTGGATGGCTGAACGACATTTCTTGGAGATATGTTACGGCGGAGGCATGTCATTATCCCAATGAAATCAGTGTTGTCGCCATAATAAGCAGTGACGGGTCCAGTTTTACTTCGACGATTTGCGTGTTGAAGTAAGGATTGCGTAGTACCGTCAAGAGAATTGCCTCCCGAGGACGGCCGAAGTGGTAGGAGAGTGTTCACAGCCCCAATAGCTTTTGCATGGTAACTTTTTGGGCCAATTTGCGACATGATTTGGACTTTGAATGGCTGTGTGATGGCTGCTCCACCAAAATCAGGTCGCTGACAGATAGCATGAATATCATCAACGGATTTGACTTGTAGCGATTGAAAATCGTTGCTCATACCACACACTTCATAAGCTGTATTGTGCATCGCTGGAGACAAACTGTAGGCTACACTGGCTCCAAGATGTACAAAATGGAGTGGATCGAGTATAGACTTTCGGTATAGTTCCTGCCGAGCCTCTGCCGCTGTTGGCAGAAATTGTCGGAGTTGACTTTTACTAACAGTGGAATTCATGACAGGATGCGTTACTGGTGTAAAAATTCGATTCTCAATTAGCGAACTCCTTCCATGGTCTCCAAGATTATAGGCGATCACTGGAAGATGGCCTGGTATAGCTTCAATTTTCCTCAGAAATCCGCGAACAGTCTCATTGTCACTTTCTTTCGAGGTTGCACGAGCAAACCTAACAATATCACAGCCTATCGACTCGGCTCTCCGGTATTGTATCATCCTAGACTCGTCATCCCATCCCCATGAATTCTCGACACGATGAAGATAGTGTCCAATAGTTTTCGTCCTTCCAGAAGACCGAACAAGCTGCATGACCCGATCAAATGAATGCTTAAGATCGATGACGATATACTCAACCCCCAGCCGAAGCCCGTGCTCAAGTAATGCAAAATAGACATCTTCTTTTTGAGATAAGGACAATGAGAGACCTTCAAATGCATATTCTTCGGCATGGAGGATAACTGGTACCCCAAGTTCCCTTCTTACCGTTGAAACTTGTTTAGCCAAATCCCTTTGGATATCGGGAGACCTCAGGGCATCAACCTTGATCTGAACTGCGTCGGCTCCAGATTCCAATTGTTGAAGATCCAGGTCAGGAATTGTCGACATACGAATAGATAATGCATAGGTGTACAGTCTGCACTCGGGTGGCAAAGCCGCGATAGAGAACGGACTTTCTAAACTATTACGAAGGACACCTTGGCCCGTGATGAAGTCTAGAAATGCCGAGAAGTCTTCCTTTGCATGTTTTAATTTTGATGAAACATTGGGAAGTCCTTGATCTTTCGGACTCGCCATTCCATCACAACTTCTATCATGCAAATTATAATATTCATAATTTGAACAAAATCGATGAGCAGCATCGGCGTTTTCGTAACGTGCAGCTTCGAAATCTCCTATGTTCAGCATTTCTCGAATCCTTTGACTATTTCGAAGAATATAGATCACGGGATTTGTTTTTGTATATTCTCGACTAGCAGATCAGCCAAGTTAGTGGAAAATTCCAAGAATGGTACTCAAATACAGGTATGTAAATATATTTGAACATTAACCCTGGCTGTAAGTATTGAGACAATCCCAAACTTTGAAACGAATAGAAGAATTTGAACGGCGAAGATAGAGAAAAGGATTGTGCTTACAGTGTCTTCTGTACCTCTGTTGCGAGACTTGCCATTCCACATTCTATAATGCATCCTGTTCTGTTTTCGTATAACATTTGCCTCGCAACGTCGATATTTCTTTTGTGAAAGTTTTGAGCTCCATTCTTCTGAACGTAAGCGGCACGAGAAAGGCCTGTGACTTCCTGAAAATAGTGGTCTTCAGTTATCAATCGTCGACCAAGATGTGTTGCTCCAATAAAACCCAAACTTCGTTTTCCCGACCCTCGGGAACCTATGAGAATGATTGACGCATTGGAGGGGAAAATTCGACCTTTCGTTTGTACTCCTGGTTTCAACTGTATTGCCTTTTCTATATCCATGGTTCCATCGTTGGAGATGACTTGAGTTGTTATAGACATCGTTTTGCTCGCATTCTGGATTTCGTCCCGTAGCACGTGATTGACTAAAATCAAGGATGAAGGGGCTCCGTTGCAGTACAGTCCAACGAAGCGACAAACTCAAAAATGGTAAGGTAAGTGGGAAGAGTTGATTACAGTCGACAATTTTTTCTCATGAATAAGTATAATATAACAAGAGCAAAACTAAGGGAAATTGTACAGAAATGGTTACTTATCGAACTACATTCTTGATCGCTCTTTCGAAAAAGCACCGAGACACACAATCGCAAATGCCGAATGTAGGTCCCTTCAATCCACAACCTAGACCTAGTAGACTAGCCAATGGCCATGGTCAGGTACTAATTAATAAGCGGCTGTCGGGTGAGAATTCTTCCACCTCCAGTTGAATTAGCTCGGACTCTTGGCCGTCTGTGGGGTATGGGGAAACGACGAGATGAATTTGAGTTCAATGTCAAATTTTGTATGGAGAATGAAGGACAACTTTAAGATATTCAATTGCTGTTACCTGGGTGAAAATCAATGCAGTGAATCATCGCGATACCATTGACAGGAATAACGACACCCACAGAGCTGCTAGTGACCTTCGCGCGCGACTCAGAACGACAATCAGTTTGATATGGTACAGTTCCAAAGACAATCCTTCTGGTCGAAGTGAGAAACGAATCGATCAATGGCATACATATGGTTCGCATGCGAAGATATCTCGGGTTGAAGCGGGCATCGTCCCTTGATGTATATTATCCATTGTAGAAATGGAACATGGAAACTCCACCCGGAGCTCGAAGCCTGAATGGGCGCCATCGAACAATAAAAAGGAGGCCAAGGCTCTGCAGGGCGGCTCGAAGAAGCAATTACAGGGCACACGAAAACGAGTTTCTCAGGCTTGCGACAAGTGCCGGAGCCGCAAAGATAAATGCGATGGCAACCGGCCATCATGCTCGACTTGTTTGACCCACGGTAGAACTTGCTCGTACGACGCGAATGTAAAGAAACGCGGGCTACCAGAAGGATATGTTCGTGGGATTGAGAAGCTATGGGGTCTTACAATAAGAGAAGTGGAGGGGGTTGAGGATGAAATTTTGGCAGTATTCAATGGGGACGAGACAAACGAGGCACTTATCAGCATTTGGAGAAATGAAGATGGACAGCAATCGGACAGTCTGGCTGAGGTATGGAGGAAGTCCCAATTATCAAGAGAACTGGAAAGGTTACTACCAATATTGGAACCGGGGCCTGGGTCTAGTACTGGGGACATTATTAAGAGAAAACGTCTCGACTCAGATGTCCAAACAGGGAAACGACCTGTGCTAGGGTGAGCATAATTGGTTTTATTCGCATTCTACATCTCTCAATGTTCAACCCTGCCTGAAATTTTATAACGAGTTTGATATCTCCAGCTCCGAACTTCCAAAGCAGTTGAAATTTTAACCTGATTTATTGTTCACATTCGATCGCCAGTTCAGTCTTAGCTAAATGTCCAAAGAAATTTGAAGATATGGAATTTGCTTAAATTGATCCATTTAGATGGGAGCTTAACTTTTGCTGACTCTCGACTTGTAGTCTAGGCGCCCAATCCGATTCTCCAATATCTGTTCAAGATAATGAGCCTCCACCACGGACTTCAATCAGCGGCTGGTCCGATCAGAAAGTCGATTTTCGGATTCAAGAGGAGCCGCCTACGTCTCCAATAGCTGGAGGCTCTGTCGGAAAGTTTTCCAACAGTCTTCCAGAGCCCATCACGCACCGCGGATCGATTTTGAGTCCTGCTCATCCAGCTACTGCGGTTGGTAGATCAAATCTGCCCGAGCTTCCATCGGAGACCTGGCATCTCCTTGATGTATATTTTTCTTACACTCATTGTTGGCTCCCTGTTATAGAAAAACATGATTTATTTAGAATATCGTATCAATATTCTCAAACAAGGACCAGTGGAGCAGAGGTCGTCAGTGGAGATCACGCACTTTTATGGGCTGCAATAGCCTATGCCAAATTCCAACATCGAGCTATCAATAATATACCTCATGCTCAGGGATTAGTATCACAAGATGTGTGGACGGCCGAAAGAATGTATACACACGCGAGAGCTCTTATTCCAAATGAAGAAGGAAATCTAGACCTTGGCCATGTGCAAGCTCTCTTAATCTTGACTCTCACAAATTTTGGACTTGGGCATTTAAACAGGGCCTGGATACTTATTGGACAGGCCGTCAGGATTGCTATTGAGCTTGGTCTTGAGAAACCGTTGGTTGAGGAACCAAAATCATCGAGGCACAACTCGAGATCTAAGCACGTGTTCCTAGGTTGTTTTGCTTTGGACACCTTGGTCGCAGCACGTCTACGAAGACGCCCACATTTAAGATCAGATGATCTGGATTGTATTGGGATGCTAGTCGAAGATGGTTTGGAAGAATGGGATCCTTGGACGGACTGTCTCACTGTGCGAAGGAGCGCTGTTGGAAACTCTAGAGTTCCAGCCTCTATCCTGAGCACTTTCAATCGTCTCGTCCAAGTTCTCCAAATTTTGAATGATGCAAGTTGCGCATCCGATAGTGCAAAAACTGTCCAATTCAGCACTGGATTACTGGAAAGGTTACATACTTGGAGTCGATCCCAATCGCAGCCTTTATATTTCGATTCTACTGCAATGAACAGCGAACAAGCTTCTTTGCTGCTACCGCATCATTATCATCTTCATATTGCATATTTCACCACACTTGCGGAATGTCAGCTCTTATCACATGGTCAAAGAAAGGGAAGTCCTGATTTAGAACCTTGCACAAGATCGGCACGGCAGATAGTTCACCTTTTGAAACGACATTCTTATACATTTGGACTTCTAATAGTTCCACCGACATTTGAGTACTACACCAAGAAAGCATACGATGTTGTTCATGCGGTCCTGCGAAGTATTGATAATACGCATATTGGTGAGCTTAGTTTTATTTTTCCCTTCCCAATGTCCTACTTCTCGGATCCTGATTCTTCCCCAATGCCTAAAATTTTTTGGTTTCTTTCGTCTTCTGTGATGAGCAATTGCTGACAACGTGACGTCGCAGTTCTTGACGATTGGAAGTACAAATTAGATATGTGCGTTTCTACCATGGAGCCAGCATGGCCAGTTTTTGAATCCTTCAAAGATGCTGCCGAAATCGCCTTGCTGAAAAACCGACGTGAAAGCCAAGCTGCGTTTGATATCATGGTGCCAGTAGCCGCGGAAACACCTCAATCCGCCAAAACGCCTAATAGTACAGCCAGCTACGAAATCAGTCAGCCCTATAGTCCTCAAGTCTTCCGATCACAATCAATGAATAGCATGGATAAATCACGACCTACAAGGAGTAATCTCCAATATGCGAAGAATTTAGTTCCGCCAACATCACATGTAAGTCCATTTATGTTATTGGTTATGAATCCTCCATCTTGCAAACTTGTGTGAACATTTTATTTTTAAAGCTTGTTCGAAAATTCGAGGATTAGGGTTAGCGTGCAACCCTGCCGTTCTCACTTCCATAAAAATTTGTTCCTTATTTTACCTAAGACTTCCTTCAGATATAATTGCTGACCAGCCGGTGACGCAGTCTAATCACTCTTTTAATGGCTCTCTTACAAAGAATTTTCCTACAAGAATTTCGGAGAGCCCGCAATCGGTTTACAACAACGGTAATACCACAGCTTTAAACTTATGGGGCGTTCCTCAACAGAATCAGAACCAAAGCCGGGCCGGTAATCAAATGCCGTTTGGGTTACTCCAGCAATCTCCCAACTTGCAACAAACAGTACTCCCAAACAGCCTGGAAACCGATGGTGATTCGATATTTAACGATTTTGCTGTCATGGATGCAATGGAGTGGTACGTTATTCTTCCGAAACCACACATGGTTAGGAAAATCTAGTATTAACAGCATGTAGGACGAACAGTATGGATCAGAGTTTAGTAAATCTTGGATTTGAGGATCCCGATAACCGAAATAAGGATTTTTACACTTTCTGCCGGGAACCTGACCCGCTATATTCGAATAATAGTATATTTCAGCAACTGCTAGCGAGCTCTGCGGCAGATTCATCGGGGATGGATAATCATGGTTTTGGAAATATAGGAATGGGCATGCCTGGCGATGCAGTGTTTGGAGGAGGAATAGATTTTGGACACGGCGATGAGGGAATTGAGGCAGGGCAGATACTCCAGGCACTGAGTGCTGCCGAGGAGCAAAGAACAAATCCTGGCGGAATGGTTGACGTGCCTCTTCTTAAAAATAAAAAAAAGCTTTGAAGGGACAAATGGTTTTGTATGGATTCATGCAGAATTCAATGTTAATAGCGGAAGATATAATAATTGCTAACCGACAATCACATTGGATATGTACAAATTATGTACTATGTATATTTACCGCCGTGATGTAAAATGTTGCCATCCCGCCAAGCGCCGTCTAATGCAAATCGTACATCTACACCATATATCCAAAAATTACAAGCGAGCCATAACGCCAGTTCCAATTTCCCCTCTTCTCTCCCTCTCTGCCCTTCTTTCGTTAACATTAGCACACACATTTTCCCACCTCATCTCCTCACAAACGAATTCCCAACTTTTGACAGCTCTCTCAGCATGTTCTCTTGGAACATGATCGCCCTTCTCCACCAAGCTTCGATTGAATAACTCGAAACTCACCCAACCCTTATATCCTAAACCATCACAAATAGCTGTCAAAACATCCATTACGGGAAGATAACCCCCTCTATCCTGCTCTCCCAGGAATAACCTACAATTCCTGCTCCACGACATTCGTGCTTTCATTCCCTCGGTATAAAACTCGTGGCCTTCAACCAGCGGCTTAGCCAGGCGTTCTGCATCAACGATCTGGATGTAGAAAACTTTCTTGGGATCAATAGTCTGTACCATCTTCTCCAAACTTTTCTTGAATGTCGCTTGAGCATCGGGTACAGTACCCGAAGGAGAGGCGGGGTCAGCAAATTCGCGCCCGGCGATATTAAATGTGTCTAGACACAATCCAAAATTTTCCCTATCAACACCCTTTACGATTTCCCACGCTCCACTCCACGTATCAATGTGTGCACCAAAACACAGATTTTCAAACGCGAATCTGAAAGGTGGTTTTTGGGCAGCTCCCAAATCGGCAATTTCGCGAAGATCGGAGACCGTTTGTGATATGGAAGGGGTGATGCCGGATGAGGAAGTAAATGTGGAGGGAATTTGAATGATATCTGTGCCTAGTATACGGCAAACTTGGAACCAGAGATTTAGTTCTTGAAGTTTAGACTTTTTAGCGGAAGAGGAAAGGGATCCCTCTTGACAAAAGAAGGGCCCGCAAGCTATGATGGGAAGACCATAATATGAGGAGAGGGAGCGAATATATTGCGCGGCGTGAATATGAGATGAGGGTGATGGGTGAGAAGGTAGAGTGGAGGCGAGGTCGGCTAGATCTTCGTAAACTATGGAAGAGTTTAGTTTTTGTGGTGGTGAAAGGGGTGACGTTCTTACACATTTCAATACCAGAGAGACCTGCATCTCTGGCGGCTTTGAATTTTTGTTCGAGACTATGATGAGCAAAACAGCGCCCGAGGGACATGCTTGCAATTGCTGGTTTGAAAGACATTTTGATGTTTGTTTTACGTAGATGCGATAATAATATGAATATAAATTACTAGTTATATGCAACGCAACACGATACAACTGAAAGGCGACAATAGTGAAGAGCAATATGACGAGATATAGAGAGTTTGAGTTCAATCAACTAAGAGAACAATCAACCTCGGAGAGATATGGAAGTGATAGCAATATATGCAGCAAGTCACAAAGTTACATCAATAATCAAGCAGAGATTGAGATTGACACAGTCAAGTATAGGGCCAGTGCATTCCACCTCCCTGATAAGGTCCACATCTCATATCTTTTCCCATTGAGATAGAACTACTATCTTTTATTCCCTTCCCGAATGGATAAGAATTTTAGAAAAACAGGCGTACGATCAAAAACATTTGACTGTTTCATGGCTAATTCATGCGTTAAAAGAATTGTCCGTCAAATACGGCTAAAGACATTGCCGCAAAAGCCTCATGGTTCCAAGATTTGCGGGGAGCTGGGATTAATGTGCGATGCTAGCCGATGTTGACGTTCATATTAGTCAGCTTGGCGGCGCATCGGATTTCTCCGCCGCATTTACCTGCGCGAAGGACGCACCCTCGGCACATGTTCAATTGCATGAGGATAGAGAGAGTCTGGCGGGGTGGTAAACAAGCAAACAAGGAGTCGGATAGGTAGGTAAATAGGTAGGTTTGCACTTGCTAGTTGAGTCGCATCACATCATTGCTCTGCTCAATAACACTATCTCATACTCATAAACAATAGCTTCAGCATCTACAGAACAACCAATCTCCATTGCTATCATAGGTTCCGGTCTAATCGGTCCTCGGCATGCACAATCGATTCTTCGAAACCCACAGGCAACTTTGCATTCCCTCACAGATCCTGCTCCACATGCCGTCCAGATTGCGACTTCCCTGTCGACTACCTACTACTCCTCGCTTCCCTCCCTGCTCTCATCCTCTCCGCTACCAACGACAGTCCTAATCTGCACCCCAAACCATACCCACGTTCATATAGCCATTTCTTGAATCGAAGCTGGCATAAAGTATGTTCTGGTGGAAAAGCCCGTCTCGACATCCATACAAGAGGGCACTAAATTATTGTCCATTGTAAAAGAACATGATGCTACCATGCTAGTCGGCCATCACCAACGCTTCAACCCTATCTTATATCTGCCAAAAATGAGATTGATTCTGGAGTACTTGGTCAGATAATTGGTGTGCAAGGTATATGGGCGTTGAAAAAGTCCTCGTCATATTTTGACGGCATTGGAGAATGGAGAAGAAATGGTGAGAGCGGTGGCGTGGTGCTCATTAATTTGATACATGAACTTGATCTGTTACAATACTTACTAGGCAAGATTACTATGGTGTCTGCTATTGGGAGTAAGAAGACTAGAGGCTTTGATGCTGAAGAAGGTGGGGCGATGATATTGCGATTTGAGAGTGGAGTAGTAGGAACATTCCTGCTAAGCGATACTGTTCCTTCTCCATGGAATTTCGAAGCTTGTACTGGGGAAAATCCTACAGTCCCTCAGGTAGGTAAGGAGAATGGTGCTGGTGGGTTCTATCGAATATTGGGGACAAGAGGAGGTATAAGTGTGCCTGATTTGACAAGGTGGAGTTATGAAGTTGGAGAAGGGGAGAAGGCGTGGAACGATGAGTTGAAGAAAGAAGAAATTCAGGTTAACACGGAGATTGAACCTTTTGATGAGCAGATCAAACACTTGGTCCAGGTAGTAAAGGAAGGTAAGAAACCAGTATGTAGTGGGGAAGAGGGTTTGAGTGCGATGGTAGTGTGTGAGGCAGTGAGAGTGGCAATGAAGAGTGGGGAGATGGTTGAGATTGAGGGTCTTAATATCGTGAAGAGAAGTAGCAAGCATAATTAAATACTCAAATCATATCTAGGGACTTGTGTCACAAATATACCATATCATAGCCATCCCCGGCCTTGACAACGTGAAAGGGAAGACATTAAAATGTGGCAATTCATGTATCTTGTTTCGGCAGTTTTTGTCTGATACAGCAATCTCAAACTTTAAATTTCTTTACTACACAAGACTCGTACCAAATACAGATACCCCTCTTGCTCCATGATATATCGAGTCTGCCCTTTCGCTTTGCATAATACCACATCCTTACTTCGAGGTAAGTATTATCATGGATGTTGCATTACAATATTCCATAAAATCATGTTTCCATGGCTAAATCAGTACTGATTCTATCCTTCCGCCAACTCCTTCTGTCATAGAAGTCCCATAGTTCACTCTTATTAGGAAGTACAGCATCAAGCCCATTTTACTGTTATTGAGATATTCCCTCGGCACAAATAGAAGGCTCCTGCGTTCCACGGCGGCATCAGGTCATTGTCAACTCTAAGTATGCTCATAGATAGCGCTGTTAATGGTGAATGGCTGATGCTCTGAACAAAACTCTGTAACCTCATTAGGTGCTGTATTGATACATTGATATCGCGTAACCTTTAATGATCTGGTTTTATTTCAAGCCTAGGCGAAAGATAGACCAGATTAAATTGCCTTCGGAGCACATCGCTAGCTAATATTTGGGCTGTCAGTGTCAAATATGACATGTGCTTCTTTCGTGAGACTAGGTGGATCACGAAGGACCTGACCTTGAAATTCACAGCTACGATATCTTCTCCTCCAAATGGTAGAGGTTTCGTGGTTCAAAGTGATCTGAAGGGGAGATAAGGCATTTCAGATCTGCGTACTAACGACATATGCTAGTTTGATAGGTATGTATGGGAAGCATTATAATGGTTATAAGACACGAGAACCATGTCTTCCAGTCCACCATGAGTACCAACAGCGTCGATATGCCTTCTTCGAGTCTTCGCTTTGAACTATCTCGAAAAGCCATGACCACGCTTCTTGGTATTTCTGGCTAAACGGACCGGCTAGCTATCATAATTATCTGGCGTTTTGACGATGATGAACGGCAACTTAGTTCACAAAAAGAGTCAAGAAGGCAAAGGAAGCTTCAAATTTGCGAGTGATATCTTCGCATAGAAGCCTTTCTCCATCGCTTTCACTTCCGCTTCGATACATGAACTTGATCAATCTTCTCTAGTATCGTTTGTAGGGAGTTGAATTTGATCATTGACTTCCTTAATCACGTGCGCTAATCTTCTACCGACCTCTGCGATATCAAAGACTTCAGATGAGATACAATTCTCTATAGATTCGAAAGCCTTGCGCCTGATCAGATAAAAGATACAACCTCAGATCGGATCATGTATCAGAACTCTTTCTTTTCGGCTTCACCGATGGCATGTAACTCGTTATCCAATCCCAATACTTTTCTCACAAGATACGAGTTAGATATGGTTGCTATGCATGGGAATGTCGATGGATGCTTTGCTTGCCTTCTGAGTGAATTTGACAGAGTGCTATGTGAGAGCCTCGGAGACTTAGTAGATGGAACCAAGCTCCTGAACATGGCCCGAAACTCATCTAGCTAGAAGTCATCTTCAATTGAAGCCTCACCAACAATGCTCTACTCTCAACGTTATGAAATAGTCAATAGATTGAAGAATAAGTTTTCATCTGCGACTTCAACATGCTCAGTGGTCTAGTTTGATTCTGAGGTATGATGAATAAATGGGGATAGATTAATGGCAGTAAAGCTTTCATTCTCTTTTAGGCATTTCCACTCGCCATCATTTAACTATCAATTTTGAATCACTCATTTTGAGCGAATGCCCAGTGGCTAATAAACGCACACAAATCAAATTGAAAGAAATTGCAAAAGCAAAGGCGCAAGTAACTCAAACCGCGACTTAACGATAGAATTTTTTTCGACTGTCAATTAGCAATTATGTTTCTATTACCTTCGAAGATATCATTGTGTACGATTGTTGTGAACATGTCAGCCGGAACGATGATGACGGGGCCTGCAAACCTATCCCCATGGCTTCGAAATGATACGGTGGTGGAACTTCATAAGAGGATGGCATTCTTGATGTTTGAGAAACTTGTTGACAGCGGTGATGGACCTACCCTTGAAATAGACCAACTCAGAATAATTGTTCAAGCTAATCAAATAAGAACATCATGTTGGTTAGGCCATCTCACGGTCGAAGAGATTGTGGACTTGCTCAAAGGCGTAATACAAGAAGGGTGGTATGAGAAGAAAGTCGAGGTGCTCAAAGATCTTCAACCAGACTGGTTTGTGCCAGCCACGCTCAAGGACACAGGCAAGACTGAAGAAGTTGTGAATGCTATTGAAAAGAACGAGGATGAATCCTCTCTGCTACATGATTCTTTCGGGCTGACTGAGAAGAAGAACGTATGTCGGCAGATCATGAAAATGCGAAATTGACTAATCATCCCTAGTCAAAAGACGAACCTGCGCTGGATTTGGATCGTACTTGCAGAGAAATCAAGCCTATAAGTGGAAGAAATTCAACGGCATTACTAGCCATAAAAGATCCTGAATATGAAGAGGGACAGGTAGATACAGACGAGGCAACAAAAAACCCTGGAAAAAATGACAAGCGTTCAACTAGCTCGCAAGAACTAGTGGCACAAAACAAAGACCTGGCACGACTTTATCGCAATCAAAAACTGCCTCATGGTCCTGCCAATTCATATCGGTTACCAGATCAAAGAGAGAGAGGTCGCGCGACCAGACCGGATCAGTCTCGTAAGCGTCGCCGCAACACCCCCAGTCCTGAGAGGGCCAACCAGAGAAGAAGGACCCACGATCTCGGTGGATCTTACGAAGCTCATAACAGATTCGGCATCAATACTGGTGGCGATTATGGTACGTTGCGTGGTTTGAGCATTTGTTTAGTCTTCTTCTGATATTATCTGTGTGTAAAGTCAAGGCTTCAAAAATGATATCGCCCACTTCGGAATACATATTCATTGGTTCTTATCGCGTACCACGACACGAAATGGTGCTTTTTTTTCAACCTCGACATACAGCAAAGAATTTTGGATGATACCCATCATTGTATGGTAAGAACGTTGTATCATTGGGCTCAAAGATACGGTTATGGGAAGCTGTTCTGCGCTTTATTGTGGTACAAAGCGGGCCACGCTGAACTCCAGGAATTCCATAAAGTATTGCGAAATGTTCAGATAAATGAAGCTCATTTATACCTTTTTCGTTGTAGTGTCCGAGAGTTCAAGGATATGCTCTGTAGGATCGCGCAGAAAAGACATTGTGCCGTGCATCACAAAGTCGATGCTCCTGTTTTGATTATAAAGGAAATGGTCTATGATTGCATCGAGCTTACAATCATGCTTAGAGATCTAAAGGCAACGGAATTGATGGAGACAATCTGGGAGGATACGGTAGAGGAGATATTCTACAACTCGAATAATCGCAATCATCACGAAGACCTGGTTGACGAACTTAGGAGGACGAATAAGAAAATCGACAAATTGACTGCAACGTACCATGCCTTGAACCGTAAGAAGGAAGATATTTATTGGGAACTCAACGGTCGACACTCACGATAACAGTTGCATAACGAACTTGTGCTTTCCCACATGATTGCGCATGTGGATGAACTGCCTTATTAGTTACTATATCTTGAGTCAGTGTGCACTTGTTCTGGTGCATGGTCATCGCTGTTGGCGAACGACGCTTCAGCTGACAGCTATGGATTTGGGTTGTTGTCGAAAATATATGTAGCTGCGAATTCACCTATGTAAAAGATTACAAATCCTTCGTGAGACGTGAGACGTGAGAATACTCGGTCCAAGTGAGGCCATAAGTCATGAATTTTGAGCTCCGATCAGGCGATTGTATCACAGAGTGTGATCATCAACTCGATTGAATGTGAAAGCATGTGTATTGCTTCTTTTACGCCCGTTTTTTGGTAAAATGGTCCAAAGTAAACAAACCTAGGTAGTTATGTCTAAGGCAAACTGTGGTTTTCGGTCTGTGATTTAGATTGGCAGATTGGCTCGCTCGCTTATGTAAGCTTACTTCACGTTAAGCGTCGTAGTAGACGTAGACGTAGTATCTAGTGTGTGAGGTGGCTTAAGCTTCGTTCTCAAATCCTGTAGTAATATTCAAAGTTATCACCACTATTATTTCACAGAGAAAGTGATTGACAGTACAACGAACTGCCTCGATAATCAGAGGCATTTCTGAGCTCGAGATTAGCAAGATGTCCTCGGAAAATCAGCGCAGGTTTCCAATCACCATATTTCCCCCCAAAAGTGCTATGGAACCGACTCAACCTGCTACAATCATCTTTCTGCATGGTTATGGTTGGTCAGCAGACCAGTTCAATCAACATCCTCCCAACAGATTATCTGTCGCATATCATGTCCATAAATCGCCCATACTTCAAAATGTCAAGATCGTTATCCCGGAAGGTCTGGCAAATATCTGGCCTTCCCCTGGAAAGTATACCTGGTATAATATTGATCAGCCTGTTCCTTCGGCAGGGGATCCTCTGAAGACCGATGAGTTTGGACAGCATCATTCTGATGTGCGTGATATTGAGGTTTCGCTTGATTATTTTGAGCATCTCATTGATACGGAGGTTGCAATGGGTACGCCTGCGAACAGAATAGTATTCATGGGAGACAGTCAGGGCGCTTCAATTTTGTATCTTTTCTTGCTCACTCGAAGAAAGGCCGCGAACCTTGCAGCCATTATTACATGGGCGGGGTTTTCCGCGACGCCGCTGGAAACAATAGCACAGATGCAAGAAAAAAATGGACTACCCGAGAGTTGGGCGAAAAATACACGGTTGTATATGCTGCACGGGAAGGAAGACATCTTTGTCCCCCTATCGAGATCTGAAGCTCTCGCGGCTGTGCTTGAGCGTTATCGTGCCCGTGGCCAAGGATTCACTACTCTTGAGTGGTTGGTTCTTGATGATTTGCGTCATTCCTTGGTGGAACCTGTTTGGCCTTACGTTCGAAAGATTTTGGAGCGCCTTTTGACAGAAACAGAGTCAGCATCAAAGCTGTGAAACTTATCTTATTATTCTTCCCATGATGTTCAAATGCAATCATAACTTTCCCTACAATTTTCCACTTGTTACAAATTTCCGTTCTGAGGTTGAGTGCGAAACCCAAAATAAGGGTATACATGTGTCATCACTGAGGCAAGCTGGTTGCATATGCATGCATGACGGGGAACCAAAAATGGAACCAAAAAGCAAAAGAATGGTGAAGGGAAGGTGGTGAATGGAAGAATACGGGGTTAAATAATGATAGTAAATGTTTGAAGAAAGGTAGTGATAGATGAATGGTGAGAGGCGGTCGATTAATTGCAAAGAGCAGTGATAGAATTCTTATTGAACAAAGATTTGAGAACGAAACAAAGATATAAGGAATCCAGATGGGTGCTGAGATTGAGGACGAACATTTGAATCAAACCCCCCCCCCCTGGGGGGCCAACAGCATAGTCACCCTAAGGTTCTTAAGGTGTTTTGATTTTTATTCGTTGATGTGCAAGCAACCTGTTAACTAACTCGGTCAGGGTGCAGGGTTCTCGACTTGGTGTAGAGATATCTCCTCAATTGCGATACATATATTGCTCCAAGTGACTGTGTAGATTATTCACTCTGCGAATGTATGGGTGACTTTCGATGATAATTGTGGAACTTAGTGGATTTGAGATAATCGACCATATCTAAATAACCGTTCCCACGGAACTTATGAACGTCCTTGTTGAACTCACTACTACTAAAGATCGGATTATTCCGGAATACCTGTTTGGCAGTATTGCTTCCCTGAATTCTACCCATTTTCCGCGTAGGGCCTCTGCCCGCAAAATCCTCGATTTTAAGACCTAATAGGGTTGATCTGAAAATAATACTTGACTTACACGTCTGTTTGATGAGGAGATATTAGCAACTTGAATGCAGTCATTAGCCCAGGTAAGATGAATCAAGCTCTCGCTGTTTTAAGCGCATGAGGATTGTTAAAACTCGTCTATCTTTTCTGTCAGTCATTCTGGATGACAGATATGATTTACTGACACTTTTCTAGAGTTTAAAACCGGCATAGCTTGTACACATAAGATACGCATCACTCGTAAAGCATGGCGCATACATCTACGTCGCAACTCTCCCCGTTTTCGAAACTACGTTTCGTCTGCCTCCTTGACTGATTTTTTGACGAATGGTCCCTATTAAAACATATCATGAGTGATTGGTCTTTCTTGTTTTTGAATCTATCGTCAAACCGCCCGATCAAATGCTTGATGTGATGAATTTCATACGCCTAACTTTTTATCCAACGGAGTAGAATCTATTTCTGAGAGTTTTTGTCTAAAGAGCTGTTAGCGCGTTCTCATACTTTAGAGTTCTGTAAATTAATGGTCTGTTTTTGTTTCCATGTTCATTTCGCTAGTCTCACCGTAACATTGGACCTGAGTTGATTGAATCCCGATTTCTTCTTTGGGTGGTCATGTTTGCAAAGTCCTGCCAATCAACGAAATTCGATATTACATGACAAGATGAGAGCTTTGATGGATTTCAAGGTAGAAAAAGGGTAAGGAAGACTTGCGGTCATTCAAATTGCCCTCTATGGGTTGGATATTACTATATGGAATAGGATAAACTCTCTGAAAAATCATGACTAAATATAGCTAGATACGAACGAGTTCATGAGTTTCAGTACTTGAGAGGGTATTTAGTATTATTGAGTTTCGAGAATAATTTCATAGAATGTATCTTGTACTCTTGGATTAAAAGAATCATTTAATCCCTAGAGTAACATTCATTCTTCATCATTACTCTTTTTAAACAAGAAATAATTTCAATCTCAAACATTCTATTCAACGATCATCTAATCAAGACCTGGAGTAACATTTACACTCATCTGGTCTCACGGTTAAACATTCCATGGAATTCTGTAGGTCAGGATAAATAAATATCCTCCAGATCTCAAAATCTCTAGCTGGAGTAAGAACACCAAACTCTGACATTGAAGTTAGCAATTCATCCACGAAATAATTTCAAGACTCAATGACATAATGTTTGATACCTTATTATTACTCTAAAATATAGATCACTCGAGTGGACTCAAGTCTTCATACTATCAGCCAATAACCATTATATACGATATTCTATACTTTGACAGGACTAAGTACACTCGAGACGAGAACTCGCTTGTCAAGACCAAAAACAGTGGGGCTAAAACAAAACTCCAAAACAAAAGGGGGAAAAAATAATTATAGACTTTTCAAGGAAACTTGGCCGAGGCCAAGAAGGACAGCAGATGCGCACTCCCTCTAGGTATCACTTTTTATTCGATCCGTAGATGTGCAGTCAACGACGACTCCGTCGAGCCACGGTGACTGGTTTTCGTATTGGCGTATGTTCAAGTTGTCGTTTAATTCAATACATGTACGTTAATTCCTTAAGCGAACTTAGACAAATGAAAGACTAGATGTCTACTGCTTCTTGGCTATCATGTGATATATGAAGATTTATGCCTAATTGAGGAGAAATTGCAAGGCGGAAATGATGATATATGCTATCTCATGATTTATGGAATCTTTTGAAGTGCGTGCCCATGAGTTCTAAGAAACTACTCGTGAAAGCACTTGCGAAAATACTTGTGCAATTTGGATAATAGTGCTACCCGCGCATTTACCTATCGACAAAATGTTTGGCTATCAGTTCACAAATATTTTGGTCCTTTCTTAACATGCCACCACTATTATGGAGCTGATTAGCTTGTCGTATACACGAGTGATATGTCAATAAACCTTACATTTTTGGAACAAAATATGGGGTCTATCAGCACCAGATTGCATTGAAATCATGGTATAGCTCCAGGTAGATGCAATCAAAAACTTTGAATTGTTTTCTAATCTGAATTGGTATTAACATTATCAATATAGTATGCCCTCATGAAAGATAGACTATATGACGTCTCGAAGACTAGATTACAGGTGAAAGTATGCGAGAGTTGACTGCGCTCGCTCGGTGATCTGTCAAGCTAATCAACATCGGCGAGAATTCAATCATTCTACAATATTTTCAAACTTGTATGATATGTTCCTTAGTCCTGAGCGTTTCTTTCCTGCCACTTTTGAAACTTTGAACTTATGAGTGCCAAGTTTTAATAAAGTGTCTTGAGTTGCTATTCTGTCATCTCGGTGGCTGCTAAAAGCTCTTGAATATTCTATTTTTTGATATAACGTGCATGCATCGACACGGACCGAGTATATGTATGATAGAGAATATACAAATTATATTGAAGGCGTAGTGATATCAGTCTAGATGATTCAACATGTTCATCGGTCAAAGAACTGCCCGATAATATGTATCTTGTACCAAATGCGGGTAGGGAGGATATAATCCGATCGCAGATATGGGATATGGATCACAAAGAAGTAAAAGATTGAAGAAAAAGTGGCAGCAAAGTACTAGCGAGCGTCATTTCGTGTGTCTGTCATGGACCATTTCCAGGAGAGTTTGGTCAACATGGACAAGTGGCAGATAATTCAAAGTAAGATCCCAACCATTGATATATTCACAATTAATCGAGAGACATTGATGATAAAAGAATACGAATTTCTGATACGATAAAGTCTCGCGTTGAAAACCAAATGCAGACCAGTGCTCTCACCAAGCATTACCATATCTCTCACCATGCTTTCTAATATTTGTCAACATTCCTGACATCATCTAAGAATTTGGAAATCTTGTCTCCATCACCTAAGCGATAGATTAGCAAATAAGTTGATATGAATATAAAATGAAGGAAGGGTTGGACTAACGAGACATATAGTAATCCCAAGCCTGCACAATATCCAACGTAGCTCCCACATCAGCCTCGTTGATATCGAAACAATTCTCGTCGAGATAATTACGCAATGTTCTATTTACTTCTTCTTCCTCAATATTTTTAGAGGCAAGTAGACGTCTGCATTCTTCGGCTACTTTGATTCCCTCTTTGTGGAGCCGAGTGACTTTTGCCCATGTGTAATATGATCGATCAAAGCCCCACTCAATAGCGAGTTTTATGAATTCCCACTGAGCATCGTCGTAAAATGACTTCATTAATTTGATCACTCTGGGAGGGTTTGTTGCAGACCGGTTAATATCCGTGGTACCAGAAGGTAATCGCTCCAGACTGCGTCCACAAAGTCAGAGTGTTGAAACTCTGCAATGAATGTATGAATAGAATCATCAAGTGGATCTGCAAGATATTGGTATCAGCGCTGTTTATGGCAGAATGGAAAGTGAAGAATCTTGATTACAATATTCAAAATTGATAACTCTTGCCATGAACCGTAGAGTCTCTAACGTCGCGTATATATCGCTCTCACTTATTTGTTGTTCCATGGATGTATATCTAGATTCGCCCATCATGTGCTTTCCAGATATGACAGATCTGTATGCAAAAGCCAGATCTGTACCAACACCTAACAAACCCACGACTTTCAATGTCAATGGGTCTGAATCGGAGAGATATCCACAGACAAAGGTGAGGATATACTTTGTGAACTGCCAGTTATCCCCGAAGATAAATCGGGCGAGCTCGATGTAGCCTTTCCGCTCTGTGTTTATTTTTTGTTTGTTGTCTACTGAGAGAGTAGAGGGATTGACTTGGTATCAACATCAGCTCAATGTCCTATAAAATTGTGTAAAAAACCTACATTGTTGAAGAGGGTCACTTGCTCCATTGTTGTTAAAGATCATCATTTCAAGGTGCTTAAGGTGTAACCTGTGAACTGTCTTGGAGAAATATGTAATGAACTCTTAATATGTTTCAAGCACAGATCATTAGAGCTAGCCTGTAAGAATATTATGCAAAAGCTTTCAGAAGTGGTTGTACGAAGCTGAAAGGTTGTGAAGATTTTAGCCTTGAATTTCTTCGAAGGAAAGGAGGACCTTTATGTGCACGTAAGATCTGAATATGGAGATTACTCAGTCCCAAGAAACATTTTGAGATCAACGAGATGACTAATTGAGTCAAGTAGATTGACTCGATTCGAGGAAGTGAATTGTAGCTTCTTGGTTGTGAACCCGATGTAAACACGTGAGGTTCTCATAGTTCTCCAGATTGATGAATATCTGCTCTAAATCACCAGGACAGAGACGTGTCACAATACAAGCGTTTCAATTCGAATGTCTTCGAATCATAGCATACAACAGCTGGCTATAAAGAGGAGTTACTTCAGCAACCGGCCAATTACGCCACTCGATGACTACATGACCCTAGTTTTCATCATAAATGGGAGCACCATAGTCAATGAAATAACACGGAGCAGAAAATGACTAAAATGAGAATTAGAGCTTAGGGAATATCAAAGGGAATTACACATGAAAAGTTTCCCCAGAAATTGCCACGAAAGAAAAGAATAGCACTTTGACAAAGTTACAACAAGCTGTTACTCCGCCATCAAATTACAGTCTCAAACCCATCTATATTCAACTTCATCTAAACGTCCGCAACCCGTAACGCAAAACTCAAACCCCAAACACCATAAAATGCAAAGTCAAAACTCATCCAAATCACCCCCAATTACTCTTCTCCAACTCCCACAGGCAAAACGCCCACATTCCCAATCGCTTGCGGATCTAAAACACACTCTCGTTAGACATTTCTCCTCACACTAAACACATCTTCACGCACATCCACATCACCACGTGATCCAGCCCAAGGATAAAGAAAGAAAAAAGAAAGAAACTTACTCCAAAAAATAAACCCACTATCCACCTCCGTCTTAATCCCCAACAATCGATCATACGTCGCATTCCCATAATACGACTCCGCTGCCTCTTCCGCCGACAAATTCGGATCCACATAATTTACATAACCCGAGAAATTCCCCATGGGTTGCGCATCCAAAACCGCATTGGTCATCCCTTCAATGACTTCTGTGATACGGTTATCCCACGGTGGGAGATGAGAGGGCGTGTATCCGTAGTTCTGGAATACCCAGAGCGCATCCATATCGGCATGACTGGAGGAAGATAGCTCTCCGCTATCGATTGCGGAGCCGGGAGCACCGTAGAGATTGATGATGGAGAAGTAGGGGATTTCGGGGGATTGATGAGAGAGGATGTAGGAGAAAAATGCAAAGACCGCTTTGAGGGTGAGAGGCTTTTCGTTCTTGGTCACGAGGGATTTGACATAGAATGTGTCGTGTAAATCGTAGTTTAATAGAGGCTGTGCCAGCGGATCAGGTGCGGCGAGGGTAGCGAGTGTATCGATCCAGGATAAATTTGTGATATTCCGGGAATCGATATCGAAACCGGATACCAGTTGCGGGAAAACGATATCTCGGAAATGGGCAAGATCGCAAAAAGTACACATTCCTGTGATTGCAAGACCGCCTGCGCTATTGACGTTAAATCCAAATGATATATTCGGTGTAAGTAAAGGGCTCTTGAGAACAAAATCTTGCGTTTGCAAAAACGCGGCAGAGACTTTTTCGGCGCTGGAAAGCGTAGATGAGAGATTGGCAGTGAAATATGTAACTTCAGCTGGTGCAGCAAGTGTTTGCATATAGAAATGTGTAACGATGCCAAAAGCATCGGCGGCGCCTCGTAATGCGTACCAGAGATCGGTATTCTCGGTTTCGCTTGTGTGAATAAATGTGCCGTTGGCGAGGACAACGTCGAGTCCAACGATTGTGTCGAGTGCTAGTCCCCAGAGACGGGAGTCGTAGCCATATCCACCATGAGTTGCATGTCCGCCTGGTTAATAGATCAGGATGGGTTTATGATAATCGTTCAAATTCAGCATGAGTATCTTTCTTACCTATCCCAACACCAGCACACGTCCCATGCGGTAAAGCTCTACCACCCTGCGCATGAATGCCTAACGCCACATTACCCAATCTCTGACCCGCGCCTATCTTCGCAATGTACGTTTCTATATCGCAACACGTCAAAACCCCATCTCTTTCTCATAAAACAATAAACAAGAACTCACCCTGATCCACCAAAATCTCATCAAACCCACTCATATCCACCACTACACTCCCATTCTGCCCGCCAATACTAAAACTCGCATAGCTATGACCTCCACCCCTCGGCTGAACCTTCAACCCCGCCTTCGCCGCACAAATGACACTATTGCCCACTTGTTCCTGCGTCTTCGGTAACGTTACCGCCGTAGGTGTATACTGCAGACGTAAATTGAAAGGAGTAGTCAAACTGGCCCAGTTCAGAGAAGTAGCATTCGAATAGGGAACGGAGCGCGCCTGAAGACATTCTTGCAGGATATGAGAAGCGTGCGATTCGGGATCGGAGGGTGGAGTTTGGGAGAGAGAGCTGCGGGTAAATGTGCTGAGGATAAGCGAGGTAAAGGGAAGTCGAAGATACATTTTGATTGGCGATTATTTTCCGAGGTGATTCTTGTTGTAAAATCGATAGGCTGGGAAAGGAGCATCGGTACTAGGAGGGGAATGCTCATTCTATAGTCGCATTATTTTTGTATAATTGCTGCGACTTCATTCCTAGCGGTGGTAAACTTTCGTTTGCGCAAATTCAGAGGCCTAATCCGGCAATTCTTCGAGGCAAAATTACCCGAAACGAAGATTTCCAGCCTCACTCAACGAAAGAACTTCCCAAACCCGAAAACATATAGAAAACACTACACAAGAAACGGGGAATTGAAAAAAGCAGAATGAATTGGTTGAAAAAAGTTTTACAGTTTATAACAAATATCTAATTCTGTATCCAGATGCAATTGTCATCTATACCTTCCCGCCACCAAAGACAGCTCCCAAACGCCGTTCCCATCTTATCATACGTTGAAGTATTAATTGTAAGACTGTGATAATATTATACAATCGCTTTAGCCATACCGGTCGCTTCATCAGTCAATATCGTTACACCCTTTCTCTTCTTGAGAACATTCTCTATGAATGCCTCACCAGCTTTGTATGAACTTCTCACTAGAGGTCCACTGGCACAATATAAGAAACCAAGATCTAACGCGCGTTGACGCCACATCTCGAAAGCTTCGGGCGTAATATATTCCTCTACTTTCATGTGTCGCTTGGTTGGGCGCATGTATTGACCGAAGGTAACGACATCAACATTGACTTCTCGAAGATCTAATGATAAGTTATTAGCAATGAACTGTGTTTGTTAAAGACGGGCGTGCATGTCATGCCTCGCAATGTTTGCCACAATGCTTCTTCAGTCTCTCCCAACCCAAGCATAATACTCGTCTTCGTAATCAACGAAGGCTTAGCCTTCTTTGCTGCATCCAAAACCTTCAAACTTTGTCTATATTTTGCCCTTCGATCTCGAACAAACGGTGTGAGTTCTTCAGTAGTCTCCATGTTATGCGCATAAACATCCAAACCACTTTCCGCAACCAATTTCACCATTTCCAAATCTCCCGCATAATCACCAGTCAAAGCCTCAACCAATATCGACGACTTCTTCTGCTTAATCTTCATGATCGTCTCTGCGAAATGTCTTGCGCCTCCATCTGCAAGATCATCTCTATCCACAGATGTCAAAACGACATATCCCAAACCCCATCTCGACAATGCTTCGGCAGTGTGTTCCGGTTCGTGAGGATCCAATGGCGCTGGCGTTTTTGCAGTCTTAACACTACAGAATCGACATCCTCTTGTGCAAGTATCTCCCATCAACATAATCGTCGCAGTCGCAGCACTCTTATCACCACCGCCCCAACAATCCGAAATATTCGGACATCTTGCTTCCTCGCACACGGTATGTAAGTTCAAACCTCGCAAGTCCTTCTTGATCTTTTTGTAATTCGAATTGTCGGGGATGGGTGTCTTCAACCATTCAGGTAATCTGGTGATTTGTCTCTTCTTTCCTGGTGGCCCAACCATCGCAGTTCGCAATTCGAGTGCATCATCGGGGGTTAAGGGCTTATCTGGCAAGCCCACAAACTCGGAAAACGATGGGACGGCATTGATCTTGTCTTTGAAGTATGTAGGACGTCTTTTCGTGATAGGTTCTGGCTTGGATGCATCTGTCTCAGTGGCGAAGGAACGTGTAGCTGCGGTGGGAATTGCAAGGATATTTCTTGATGCCTGTCTCAATGGAGGTGCATTTAGACATCTGAATCTTGGTACCATCGATGCCATCTTGAATATCCCGACTTGATATGCTGATAATAGAAATGTTCACTGTTGAAATGTTGAGATTATTTTCTGATAAGGATGCTTGCAAATCGATGTTGCTTATGTAATATACAAGACCGCTGCTATCCGATTTCATGAATCACAGCAGTGCAATATTGATATAAAAAATTGAATCAGTTGAACGGCATTTTATCTTGGTATCTGCATTTGAGAAGGTTTAATCAATTTTATCTCACTGTACAAGTACCCATCGGAGCGTTCAATTGTAGAAATCGTGAGGCTGATAAATTACTTGGTAGTAACAAATATCTCCCAGTGACCCTTCATTCACCCCACCAAAAAATCACAAGGAGTAAATATCCCTGTCACAGCAACCATCGCGTCTTCCAGCGCAAACATCAACATCCTCAATTTACTCCAGATCAAGCCCATAAACCCTCTCAACCCCACAACCCCAGTTTTGCCTTCTCGCAGTATTTACAAAAATGAATTCGCAAAACCCATCCGTTCTTCTTTCCTCTTCCGTAGCTTCTCTACGAGCCTCTTTAAGTACCCTAGACAACAGCATCTCCATCCTCGATTCCGGTATTTCTGATTTTCCCCGTCTGAAATCTGTTCTGAGTACCACAAGAGTAAGCTTCCCATCTATTATCTTCTCCAACCATACTCAGATCTCCAACCCCCAACTAACACTCCCACCCCAGCACTTCGAACTCACCCCCTCCACCACCCTCCACGCCGCCCAACGTTCCCTCGCCGAAGAACTCGAGCCCGCTATCGAAACGCTTCTCTCCCGCTCCGAATCCCTGATATCCCGTCTCCAGCGCAAAGAAGAACAGCTCATCGCGCGCTCCCAGCTTCTCTCCGGGCGTCTCGAATCTTCCGATTCGATGTCCAATCCCACCTCCAAAGCCAGCAAACTAAGTCGCAAGAAAAGCTGGGAAATAGGGTTGAATAAAGGGAACAAAAGTCCCTTTGGGAATGGAGGGGGAGATGAAGAGAAAGCGATGAGGTTGAAGGTTTTGAGACAGAAGAAGGAGAGATTGGGGTATGCGGTGGAGAGATTGGGGCTGCAGAGTCAGCAGCGACAGAGGCAGTTGAGGATGAGTGTTGCGCCGCCGTCTTTTGATGATGAGTGATTTACAGACATTTTGAATGGGTAGATACAGATAAGGGCAGGAAGAGTGCACAGTTGATCGCAAGCTTTCTAGCACGCTTCGATGGCACAGATCGAGAATTGGATATGAATCGGGGTTGAGGAGCTGGTCCTGTTGGATTTTATCGATATGTCTAATCGTTATCCCTTGCCATAGTTTCTGTGGAAACTTCATAATCAGATCCAAGCCAAGGTCGTCGATTCAATTCGAGCCATTATAGGGACAAGATACGAGAGTGTAGACTATGGAGGGGTCCGGTACTTTTCAAAAGAATGGCCCCAAGCGCCAAAGGGAGATGTCCAACCCGGCGTTTTGTACATGATGTATGATGATGATGATGATGATGATGATGATGATGGAATGCGGATATACCCAGAATGATGTGTATAGCAATGGAGATACATATTTTTAGCGAGAAGTCATCACGTCACTCTTCGATTGTGCTCGAGTCCTGTATAAATCCTTCTATTGAAAATTAGTGGCGGTACATATTTAGGTAGTGAAATCAACTTCTCAAGTTTAGCTTCACTGAAGACGTTTTTGAATGTATGAATGAATTTGTATCACAAAAACTATGGTATCATGTTTCTTCCCCTAAACTTTCAATTCTCTCCCAAAACTGTCCCCCCTCACAACATCCGGCCTCTCACCCTCGACACTGCAACTTACAAGCCCTACTTCTCCTAGCCCTAAATCATCCAACCCCTTAAATCCTTCCTCAACAACCCACTTTCTCCCCTCCTTACTAGAATTTTGATTAAACAAAACCTCGCATGCAGCTCCAAGTACCAATAACCCAGGCGGTCTACTGCCCACTTCTTCAATAGCATCTACGACCCATTGTAAAGAAGTTCTTACGACCCTTTGATCTGGACATGATGCTCTTTCTATTACTGCACATGGTGTGCTCAGTGGCCATAACTTCCTACTTTGATCAACATCCCCATTCTCATCAACCACTTTCGCGTCTTCGGAGTCGTGAGTGGTAAGATCAGCCACTAATCCCTTGATTCTATGAAGCGCCATCAAGAATACCACAGTTTGAGTCGGAACATATTGCGGCGGCACGGTAGGTTTTCCCTTCCTGCCGGTCCCAGTACATATGAGTACCTGATCACTAACGCTTCTCTGTGTCGCCGGTATTCCAGCAAACAGTGGCGCACTCAGTGCGCTTGTGATTCCAGGCAAAACAACAACTCGATCTCCATATCCCTGCTTTCGGAAAAACTCAAACTCTTCTCCTCCTCTTCCATATATATAGGGGTCGCCTTGTTTCAATCGTAAAACAGTTTTGCCAGCCTGAAGGCCAGCTAATCCGAGAGACAATAATTCCTGTTGTGCTAGTTCGGCGTTACCAGGAAATTTGCGCGCAATGTGGATAGGTGTTCGACGGGGTATTAGGTCGAGAACGCCTGACGGAACAAGTTTATCGGCGAGAATTATGTCGGCAGAAAGAATGGCTTTGTGGGTTGCGCGAGTAAGAAGATCAGGATGCCCGGGTCCAGAACCGGCCAGAATTATTTGTGGGAGTTTTGAGACGCGGGAATCGAGGTTTGATGTGTCAAGAGGAGCCGAAGTTGATGGATTGGTGGCGTAAGATCTTAAGACACTGTCGACGTCGGAATCGGTTATTGATGCAAGTCGACGCAGGGGCCAATATTCACATATTTGAGAAAGCCATCTCATGCGTCTACTCTTTGCAGCATCTAGATCTGCTTCCGTAATAAGCTTGTTGAAAGTAGAACTTTGATCTGTTTCTTCTTCATTATCCAAATCTCCGGCTGCAGTGAGATGTGCTAAATGATCTTCTTCTTGTATACGTCTGCGAATTGTACCGAGTCGTAAACATGATTCTCCTAGATTCTTAGGAAGCGAGGAGGCTATTTCGCGACGAATTCGAGAGGAAAGTTTGCAACCTCTACCATTGGTTGTTACACCGATTTGAAGTGGCCCATCGGTGTATGTGGAAAGGAGGGAGAATGTGCATAGATTTGATGCATCTGCGACATTTACAGGTATGCGATTACGTTTGCAGAGTTGTGAGATATGTGCACCTAGACCAATTAGCTGAGTAGTCTCAAAAATAAATAAATAACTATACTTACTCAATGGATCTCGAGGTCCAGAGGTAACAAAAACTGCATCGACTACTCTTCCAATTTCTTCTCTACCTAGGGCCATAAGGTCGTTATCTTCAAATGACTTCTTCAGCCATTGTACTTCCCCAGTTTCAATTCGTTTTTGTAACGTGTAATGTAACTCGGAGGATTCAGACGCAATGAGAATTGGTTTTGCCCCTACTTCAACGGATTTCGTACATCTGGCTCCTGCTAATGGATTGCATCCAATTATCAGATGGACATGAGATGTTGCATCAACACCTGTAAGAAGAGATATTGGAGTCATGATGACACTGTGAACTCCCAACTGATGTTACAGTGTGGAATATGATGATCGTGACAAGATGTAAAAGGGAATAATCTTATCATAGAGATATGATCAAGGAATGAAGATGCATGAGATACAAAGAAAGAAGAAATACATAGACGTATGAAGTAAATGTTAAGTATAACTAGGTAACATTCAATTGTAACAATAGAGATAGGAAGAGAGAGAGAGAGAGGACTAAAAGCAAAGAACGAACTATCTCCTTACCAATTCCGTCGTCTTCTCGGTGTTTGATGGTATCTTGGGGATTTTTTGCTCAATAGCTGTTATCGTGAGATAACGCCATCGATAAGAAATTTCACATTGCCCCTCCACGCGGGATGATGGGGGACACTAATCCGGAAATGGATGTTTCTGATGCCGCTTTCGTGATGATGATAGGATTCATGAAATTTATATACCTAGATGGGTATAATGTTTGAGGATATTATAAGCTGATAAATTAGTCTTTTATCATTTTGATACGAGTGAAAGACAGATCTAAGGCGAAGAGATCCCTCCTTTTACTCATGCACTCTCTTAGTTAATCTTATATCATATTCATGCAATCGAAATATGACACCCCTCACAAAAATGGATGACAGTCAAATATATTTAAAGCAGCAGTCTCCGACGTCGCGCCCCCGTTCTATGGATTAGTAACCCATTCTCACGATCCACTATCATAATGTCCAATCATTGCCCTTCAATTGAACATACCTTACTACCCCGCGGATATCCGGAAATGTGTAAACCACCTCGATTTGCATTACCCACTAACATTGTTGGAAGACGGAGAGTAGATAGTTCTACTACTCGTCTCGAGTGCTCTTGAATTTTTCATGTCGAAGTCTACACGCGTAAAGAATTTGTGGCAGATGTCTCAGCCCTCACATTATTGGCGAGCAATTGCATTTCTATTGAGCCACGGTGGTCCAAAACACCAGCTGAACACTGAGAGGAGATTCATCGTAGACTCAAGAACGCCATTCGCATGGATAGAGTTGAGGGGCTTAATGCAATACTTGGCAGTCCATTGTCGGATTGCTCTGTCGTTAGCACAATGTAAGTCTATATGGAAGACTATGTTGATACTTCGAGCTTAGTACTGAACCAGGCTGAGTTGCTTGCTCTCTCTGAAAAGTCGGCTAACCGATCTTCGTTTTCATAAATTTATACAAGTTATTGAGGCATACGAAGTCTAGGTTCTAGCTGGCCCCTTTCAAACTGATGGCCAAACTAACCCCTTGTTCATAAAGGAAAGCCAATGTCTTGTGTTAAGAAGCAATATAGTTTGATAATACATTAATGTTCGACCACACTAGTGGTTAACCGATGGAGCAGACAGGTTATCATAATATCAAGCATTTGGATAGAGCAAATGGCTTTGATAGAGTACCTGACATGGACGAGATATTTATCTTCTTCATCTTGTCTTCAATGGAACCGCGTGCCGACGCACAATGTCTGTAAGCTTAGACCATTCTGCCTCATCATTTGCGTTTGTGCATCACAAATAGTGTTGCCTATACGGCGCTACCAGTACATTTCTTGCTGCTCCCCTTGTTTTCTCGTTGAGCAATTGATCCTCATCCCAACCTACCTGAATTTACCAACTAGCTGAGCAGGTATGTTGTCAAACAGCATGCACTTCAAATTAAACATCTCCTCAGTTATGACTGATCAGCACAAACACCACCGAATCGAGGTAACATTCCACGGCTATGGAATTTTATGAAATAGTTTACTGTCTGCTCTTTCTTTCTGAGAAATTCTCAAACGCCCATCATTGACGAATACCAAGCTATCTACAATGTCGTGCTGTCCCTTAAACGCTTGTTATCTTGCTGTGGCAGTCTTGTCAGCTGTGCAGTGCCCACTACTCAAAACTGTCGGCTCTCCTTTACTTGACGGGCTTTCCAGCGGTGTTTGCGCTCTACTTGGAGGCTCTGGTGCCGTCGCAAATGCTTGCAACTGCCTCACTGCCGCTAATGCTCCGGGGGCTTGCAGTTCTGGATGTACAGATTCACGCGGAATTGGTCCAGGATACGCACTCTACACCCCATTATCGAGCATTCTTGGAGGCGTAGCAAAGCTTGCAGGAGAATCGGTGTGTCCAGGAACCACTGGATATTATTGTCCCACGGGCCAAACTTGTATGACAAGGACCGGATCTGCACCTTATTGTTGCAACGATAGTTTGTTATTTATGATTACTACTCACATCTTAAAGCTAACATTTTGAAGGTACGGATTGCTACAATTCGCTTGGAAAATGCGCAGATACCTCATGGCAACAATACAGGGTCACAATTGGTGCTAGTACTAGCAATTTTTGCTGCGGAAACGGAACAATTGGTGTGTACCAAAGCTCGGGTCAAAATAGTGTCGGGATCTGTGCAACGGCTCGACCTGCATTTCACACCACTATCAGTGCCATCTCATCTGGAAGCTGTTCTTATAGCACCTCCAGTACTGTTCTCTCGATTACTCTCTCTTCAAGTACCAGTACAAGATCGAGTTCCTCCAGTTCGCAAACATCGAGTCTTGTAGGAGACACGCCAATAACTACGATGAGATCTACGACGACAGCAACTTCTACCTCAGCCTCAATACCGACATCTTCTGGATCTAGTTCAACTCTGGTACCAGACTCTCCAATAACTTTCACCAGATCCAAATCTACTTCTACCTCTCTTTCAGTACTCGAGTCTCCTAGCTCCAGTCCGATAACTCAATCGTTTACCTCGCCGATATCATCCGTGTCCTCTAGCGCTTCGATATCGAATCCGACGTCGACGACGCAAATAATTCCATTGGCAACCACTTCCTTATCGATTTCTTCATCCAGTATTTCGTCGAGTGTGATTTCGACTTCGATTTCGGTTTCTAACGAGCCGTCTTCCAGCTCATTAACTTCTCCTGCAACTCCAACTTCCGCATCCATTGTCGACCAAACTTCCTCTTCTGTCTCAAAATCTACTACTTCAACAGCATCTTCCTTGTCCTCCATAAACTCATTAGATATTTCACAATCTCAACCGCAATCTCAATCCCAATCCCAATCTTCAAGCGTTGATTCTACCTCCTCCTCTTCGCAAATTTCTTCCAGTATAAGCAACTCCATACCTTCAACCTTCATCGGGCCAGTTACAACTCAATCCTCGGCATTGAATGGAGTAGAATCGACTAATAGCATGTCTACTTCTACACCGGCGGAATTCCCTGTGAAACCATGTGATGCTAGTTTGTGTTTATTTCGTCGAGTTATTCCTACTTCGCGCGATCTTTGATTTTTTGTGTTGTAAGGGTGCTGCGGGAGGATTATTCGAGAGTTATGAGCGGAAGAGAAGTAGATGAGTTAAAGATGGAAAGATGCTTTAGTATCTTGGAGGAATTAAGGCCATTGCGCGTTTTTGTTTTTACTTTCGGAAATGTCCTTTTCTTAATTTTTGCGAGATCTTCTGATTTCTATGAATCAAGATTTCTTATTCAGGCAGTGGTATCCATAATTCAAGTCTTATAGTTACAGCTCAAATGGTATTGTTACTGCATTGCTCTCATAGGTCTCCAGGATAAACATCTCTCTTGACATTGAATCAGTCTTTTCAATTATATTCGAGATGTTATTTTACTTTAGACCTTGCATTGATTCGTTTGCATCCATGATGTTGTAGATGTGATTATTAGACCACAATCGCGTTAGTGGTAGTATCGTGTTTTTTTTCTTATTTGATACTCTGTATATCAGGTATTCTAGAGCTGAAATTGCATTTATAAATTGAGATACTATGTTAAAGTAGATGCTGGGCTGATAGTATGTTGAATCAAACATATTGAAGGAAAGTGATATCTTCTCTAATTCAAACTAAACCTAAATATTCTCAACGAACCCTTTGATAAATCAGTCTCAGCCAAAGATACTCCTTTGAATGTAGGTATTCCCAATATCTCCAGAGTTTGAACTTTTGTCGAACATTTGATGATAGAACCCGAATTCATCCCGAGCATGGCTAAATAATGACTTGAATTCACTTTCGAAAACAGATCTTGTGTCCATGGTGGGAACGTCACCTAGAAATCAAGCAGAGCCCACTCTGGAACCTGGAAATACATGAGAGCTTGGTCGCAAGTGGATTTGTCGTTTGAAATTCACAACTGCAACGTTCACTGTAGAAAACTTGACCTCTGTCAATGAACTTTCAAGAGCAAATAATTACAAATTTAAACAACGAAACATTTCCCATAGCACCGAAATTCACAAAAAGAGTATCCCACAATGACGTTCGTACATCCACCAACAACACAATCCCCAAATTCTTTACTAACATCTCAAACCCACCAGAACCCCATCCTACGATCTCCGAACCGACGCCATCGACGCCTGGTCCGCAGCAGCAAATCCACACCCAGGCAGCCCTCCGAATCCCGCCAATCACCTCTGCTACGACGCAAACATCATCCAAATCGCCGACCCCCCCATCTTCAACCCCAATCCCAGATATTCCCGCTACCCAACCCCATATATCGGAATCACTTATACAGAATGGGAGCAGGCGATGAAGGAAAAATTAAAAGCGTATAGCGACGCGCGTTTTTCGATTCGTATGGCATATGTACTATCCAGATTGGGGGAAAAACCGAGAGCGTATTTGGAGCTGAGAATGAGTACGCATGAAAAATTTGAGTTTAAGAATACGGATGAGATGTTTGAGGTTTTGGGGAAGGTTTATAGAGAGGTTTGTGGTGGTGGTGATGAGAAGGTTGCGAAGTGGAAGGAGATGTATTAGATCGTTGTTGTTCATAAACGCATCTTGGAAGAAGAGTTGGTGGAGGTTATTTTTTTTCTGGGTTTACGCATGTTCCTTCCTCAATGGTGGTCCGGTGCTTTTGTTAGGCGCGAAATGAATGGTACGATGAGGAGCTAGCTGCGCTTTCTCGATTGAGGATCGCAGACTGAAGATTTTGAGGCTGCAACCTGGCTGTTTACATTTGAGTGTGCTTATTGTTGGAGGGCTGGACATAGGGAAAGATCAGATCTCAAGTTCGATGCCCTTCACTTTATCCTTACGAATACAGGCCAGGAACTCCAAGTGTAGTTTTCATATTACAAAGCGTTATGAAAGCAGTGATCACCTTTCAACACAGTGATATTCATGGTAATGAAGGAACACAGAGCAAAGAATCAAAGTGAAGACTTGATGTTATGGAATGATTCTCATAAATGATGAACTAAAAATCGATCGTCCAGAATGACATACTAACACGGGTGCGTGGGTCAAGACCCAAGACCACTCAGTTTGCATTGTATGTAGAATTAAACCTATTATCTAACAATCATTGATCTCCAAGATAACATTCATAGAACCACAAAGTTTCTTCACCATCCATAGACATTTGCACTTGTTATTACGACGACCAGCTCCCAAGAAATTTCTTCTTCTGCTGCTTTTTCTATGTATAGGAAACTTTTTGAAAAGAAGAAACTTTCATAATTAATCTAAAGAATATGTCTCCTAAGTGCTTCGAATCAAACATCTATGTACATTCTAGTCTAAAAATTGCTTGTTATATCAGAATATCTGATCGCTGGGGAGTTAGTTGAAGTATAGATATGCCTCAAATTGACGGATTTCGCCGCCGTTAAAGTCATGTATAGAATATCAAATGTGCTTAAGATTCCCAAAAACATCGAAACAAAATTTAATTGGGAACAGCCAGAAAACCTAGCTATGCCACCGCTACGCTGTTCTGAACATGAAATTCTATGCATGCTCAAGAAAATGAAGACTCTCGAATCCGATCTGAAGACCTTGATTTCCTATAATTACTTATTTAGAGCTGGTATCAGCGTTAGTATAAGCGCTAGTATCAATCAAAATTTCTGAAGCTTACGGGATTGAATCATTTTCAGTCTTTACTGGTTGTAGATACGTCTTGGCTCTCCAAGCTTGCAAGTCGTGCAACACGCCATGTTTGTCCAAAACCCACAAGCGGATATCGGTACTGTGGGTTCGCATACAGGGCCAACCGATCATATAACGATGAAGATGATAAAAGCATCTGGTTTGATTTCCCATATACTCTGGTCGACGATGGATAGCCACATCCGTGGCGATAAAATTGTTTTTCATAAGTTCGTTACGCTCAGCCTTGGTCGTGAGTTTCATGAAATTGTTTGGTCGTGTCTCCTCGAGATGGATCCACAAAGATGCAAAAAGAGTCAGTCCCAAATGCGCAAGCTGGTTTCTGTATATATTCGCAATTTCGTTCTTGGTGTACCCAACGCCCAAAGAATTGTGGGCTTTTCTGACACAATCCATGATATTGTCGGCAAGAGTAGCTAGCTCGAAGCATACGGCCATTCTGTACAATGGTCCCGGAATGTATCCTGAGTATCTGAATGTTCCATTGCTCTCGTGGTAAATGGCGAGCAACATTGGCAACTTATCCTCGTGTAGCCATTTTGAAAATGCTGTGAACGATCCAAGGTCTATTAGCATTTTGAGAGGAAAAGTTTCTCTGCTTAAAGCAGGAACTTTACGAAATAGAAGGCCTTTATTAATCTTGACCTCTAGATTTTCTACGAAAAAAGTGACGGTTTCTTGGGCCCTGTAGTCATTAGACTCTTGTTAGTAATTGTTCCAGCTTATACCAATTGATGCTCATGATTAAATTATGTGCAAGGTCTTCAATCGACTAGCTTGAATTTTAACTGTTTTGACGAAGAACTATACGATCATATGTACTCAAGTGTGTAAAATATATCAAGTGTGTAGAAAGAAATTATGACATACTCTTGTAAAGCCAAGCCTTCCATCTGTACCCCTTGCATGTTACCCGACATTGTTGCGTGTTGTGGAGCTTTCTCGCTTAAATGTTTGTATATGAAGCGGATATAAAGGATAAAAGATGGTATCCAATTGTTCAAGATAATGTAGATGGTAGTGAAGTGGAGCCGAGAGATCCTTTATGTGATAGTTCGAATTCGAGTATTCCGGAGCAGATAGATCGTAATAGCGAAGGTAGAATATGAGTGAACCGGTAATGTTTATCGAAGCGAATGAATTATACTAAAGATTAAGGATTATGTTGCCCAACGGGAACGAATGTGATTGAATTGTGTAAGATGTAATGAAGAAGTAGAATGATATGAGTCTTCAGAAGAAGGAGGATGTCTACCATCTATATATAGATTTTGAAAGATTGTGTGGGCAACGCTAGATTGGATCGTTTTTCTGGCCCCATGAACTAGCGATGAGATAGACTTATACTAGTCATGATCTATAGACAGCTTGAGTAGTTTCAGAATTCGAACTTTTCAAGCTAAAACTGATGCTTGTCCCCACGATGGAATTAAATCTTTCGATCGGTCCAGAAGCTTTCAGTCAAGTCTCCCCGACCTCAACTTAGCTCAAATGGGTGACTCATCTTATCGTACACTACCTTTTATTCAGCTGAGTTACTTATCATCACTCGTTATAGAAAGGTTTAGTTTGACTTGGTCGTAAATCTGGTAGTCGTCGTTACAAACTGTATCCATCTGTTTACACTAGATATGTGGTCTTAACGAAGAGTATCCTCTAGGTGCGTGATATCAATCTCCCTAGATGCAAAAAATTACTCGTGCCCCCCTTTATCACATTTAGTGAACTTTACCATAGGAAACAGTCATAGTCTTAAGGCTTGTTCAAGTCAGGAAGCAAAATAATTTAGAAATTACTGTCGGTGTGTCAGAATTTAAGGACATATGCACTTGCCCCAACTTCATGCATAGAAAAGTTAACCAGATACCACGAGCAATTAATGAGCCCACAATGTTGTACATTTACAGCTACAGTTCGCCGTTGAGATGATATTTTATTTTGATTTAGTACTCATGTGTGAAGAGCGATCTTGACTGGCTCATGTTTCGCAATAGGTAGACTGTATACTTCCTATATCTGGAGTTTTTAGAAGTTGAAGTTCTAGTGAATTTCTAGTACATCTTATGCTGACTGTAATGTCGATTCGATTCAAGAGGACGCGGCGTATTCGATAGTCCAGTGTAAATCTCAAAGTCATTGAACGGTCCTAGAATCATTGGATCATCTCGTGACTTAGCACTTCTAAGAGCGATAATAATACCTATAATAAGGTTTGTATGTGTTCGAAATTCTTATACTTGCTAAAACCGGGTGAAGCTTCCTCAAATTTTCTTTGTCTAGCTAATGACTAGTGCATTTTGTGCTGAAAAATGAACCGATCTGACGTAAAATTGACAGATAACTCAACTAGTCAGATCAGATCTTAGTATGAGAGAAAGCGTGATAGGGCTTCAAACCTTATTTTTGACATCTCCTATCACAATATTTCCGCTGGATTCAAAATATATACTGACTCAGAAAAAATGGTTTGACGTCATGGAATATAAATTGAATAGATCACAGTCATTAAACCATCGATGACGGTAATGATACTGAGTAGCGCGAGAGACCTAGGAGGAGTGATCTGCAGATTCAGGTTTGGAATAGCTGAACTCTAAATCTCTAACTTGAAACGTAACTTGGATTATGTTCTAAGTTTCAAAGCCAAATGGCAGAGAGGGATATGTAATCACTTTCCGGCGAGTATATCCAACTTCATTAGGGCGGTCCTTGCCAAGGCGTTTTGCGCCACGATGCACATCATTTCTTCTCATCTGACTGATAGCGAAACGTATGATGTTGTACGGTATGCACCCGGGGAACGGGATCCATGATCTAGATTTACCAATTTTGATAAAATAGCTATACTGAAGAGATCTGCTTTTAACTATCGTTTATAGCATGGTTCCATATCGCCAGCTAGATACATCGCATGTAATCTAGGTATATGAGCTTGATACATATCTTGCTTCGCTCTGCGATAGACTTGCTTATCTTTTACTATTGCCTAAACACGTCGTTTCATTCATTTCTTATTGCACCTGATTCTTCTGTATCTAAGGATTAGACCGACAATGGTTGGGATCCGTGTTTAGAATGTTGCATGAACCACTAGGCTGGGTCTTCATTCGATGCCTGGCATTCATATGCTGAATCCATAATCACAAAATATAAAATCGAACAATGAATGTTAGATGATCGATTTTGAATGAAGCCCCAAATGATTGCAAAGTCCCAAAGTCACACCATTCCGCCATCATAATTTCACGCATGCCTCTTCAGTCAGATTTCAACTCAGTCCTATAGAGCACCTAAATCTTTCACTTGAACTTGATTCCTATATTTGAAGATTAAGAAATGAGCTGTGGACGATTGAGCTCTGCAGAGCTAGAAAAACTGAATTCATGAAACTTTTGATTTAGATAGCATCTAGCGTAAGAATAAGGTGGGATAAAGGGCAATTCTTCTTCAATAGTCTCTTACCCAGGGTCTTTTTCGATCTACTCATCCTTGATTTCTTCCTCTTCCTCTTCTTCTTCTTCTTCTTCTTCTTCGTCTTCATCTTCCTCTTCTTCCTCATCACTTTCCTCATTACTGTCGGTGTCTCCATCTTCCTCAACCTCATAGTCACCGTCAGCCTCTCCACAGACATCGTCTTCTTCATGAACATGAAACCGGCATCCGCTGAGACGGGGATCCTCAATAGTGATTTGCCGGCTGAATTTGATGAAGTCTCTGGTGAAACCCTCGACTTTCAAAAGTGATTCTACATCCCAATTTGGAATCATCTTCTTGTATTCTGCTGTATCCCCTCGAAGAGTGTAAAAGAACAATTGGATAGCATAAGCTTGGAGTTTTGAGTTCCGGAAGGTGTTGTGATAAATGTCCTTAATGATGCTTGCTTCGAAATAGGAGTCTTCCTTGTAATGTCTGCTACGAATAAAGGTCATTATTCTGTCCATTACAACAGGTAGAACTAGTAACTCTGCAAGTTGATACAAGTAAAAGGCTTCGCTATCCGATATTGATTTCTTGGACAAATGCAGCTCGTCGGTATAGATCCACTCCATGATTATGTCGAAGAGCTTGGGAGATTCATCTGAGAGTCTCGTGACCCTCTTACCCTTCTCAAAACATCTCTTGAAGTATGAAGAGTGTGCACAGATGATATTTTTTTAAACACGAAATAGCTTCTCCTCTTCATCTCGACCGACGTGGATATCGACCATGTCTGTTCCGACCGAGCTACATAACATGGTTAGCTTAGAATCCTGTTCATGAGTGTGTGACTGGCTTACTCAACAAAGAACGCGGCAATTGGAGCTTTATTGGTAGTGATATCTTCATCTTGTGAATTTGTAGAAGAGCCCGACAAGGCTTCAGAGTGACTGCGCTTTCGGGTCATGGTGAAGCCTTTGAATGGTATCCCACAGCTTAACTCGATTTGAAACTTCTGAAATGCACTTTCAAAGATAAGAAGAAAGCTTTCCGTCTATGAAGTGATTGGTTTTGCTGGCTTGTGAGTAATTGCGGTCTCTTAATCAAGTTCTGAAAGTGATTCGTCAGTTGTTTGGCAATGGAGAAGATGTTTCTCAAAGAGAATTATGGCGGAAGTTTCTCAACTTAATTCGTAAGCTTGAGGAGCCTGAAGATTGCGGAATCATCCCAACGAATATTGAATTGTAAATTTCACTTTACCTGGAGTCCGCAATCTTGGGCGGCTATCATGTGATGAATATCAGACTATTATGAATTTTCAAGTATGATATTTTGACTAGACACTTGATTTAAAGGCAAGTCTTCAACATTCATAAGACTGGCACTAAGGTTAATGGTCACAAGCTTACCCATATCAATGCTAGGGTTTCTCTCTTGAAATGCCGTGATACTGGTTCATTCTTCCACGAGCAATATTTGCGCCATGAATGCCACAGCTGTAAGCTGAGTAACAGTTTTCAAAAAACGCTGGCAAATCATAGGTTATAAAGTTCTCTCGAGGCTAGAGATGTGGTTGCTCGATGTAGTAACGTCACAAGAAACTTCAAGCTATGCATATCGCTGACTCAGTTTCAAGGAAACGTTTCATATGAGCATATCAGGATTACAGATGGAAAGAGAGCATGTAAGTAAGTATCATCATTTGAGGATCAATCACTGGATACTGCTGGTTTGAGAAAACTGAGAGAAGTTTAAAATGCATTGATAACTCCAGAAGAAGCTAAAGTAGCTGCATTGATCCTATTTTCGTGTGTCTATATTCATGAACTTTCGAGACTCCTGCAATACATTCCATACTCAAAAAAGAACTGCATCCGTGTTTAGAACCTGGAAACTAAATCGTCGTAGTATCTGCAACGAAATATAGTTGATCCCTCGCATGAGCTCTCGAGGTATCTGGGAAGAAGAATAGAAGAAGATCTGAGCTGCCGAAAGTCTAGAGTACAATCCAGCTCTGGAAATTCATGACGCCTGAAGCCTATGAATACCCGCATTCGAGAAAATGAGTGAAAGAACCTTGATAGCCCAAATGAATTGAACCTGTCAATTAACCTGAAGAACGGTAAAAACTTAGAAGTCAAACCATCGCGTTGACAGACTGCAACAAAAACTTTTGATAGCTTTAAGAAAGCCTTTGTTTCTTCAACGGTGAAGCTATCTTCTTTTTCAACTCCTCAATAGAAAGAGCCGTAACCTTTCCTTCACTGCAATAATCTTTTGCCGTGCACTTCTCATTTTTCCCATGTACATGGAATCGACAGCCAGGGCCTGTGCGTGGGTCTTTGATGTTGAATCTCCTACTTATTTCTAGATAATCGAGAGCGAAATCTTCATTTTCCATAGCAGACAATAGCTGGGCAGTTGAAAGCCTGAGATCTTTGCCTTCATTGCGCATGGTATATGCAGTCAATTCGGCAATATACTTTCTCAATTTCGAATTTTTGGAAACTGTGTCATAAATAAACTTGATCTCATTAGGCATGTAAAAGCATGATTGCGAACAATCAAACCTCCGTTCAATGTCCATGAATCGATCCATAAGCTCTGAAAGAGACAAATCATCCGCAAGTGGGTAGAGAGATTCGGTACTCCATGATCTATGGAGATCTGTCGTAGCATTCTCGTCATTCTCGTCATCAAGCACAAAGATCGCACGCAAACTATCTGTGTGCACCCACTCCATAAGCACGTCGAAAGTGTTTGGGTGCGCTTCTGGAAATTCGATAATCGATTTGTGGCTGTCTTCGAGGAGTTGCGCAAAATGAGGTATTCTGTCGCAAAGGAGTTTCTTATGTATATGAAAAGTCTTCTGGTCACCATTTTCGCCTACAGCAATCTGGATTACCTCTGTTCCTAATGTACTAGTTCTGTTAGTTTACGTTTTCAGTCCACGATGATGATACGTACTCTGAAAAAGTGGTTTTGAGCTCCTCGAAAGGGTCTTTCTGTTCTTGAATATCGAGCTGTTGCTCAGAAGGTGAACTAGAGCGACTGCGCTCTAGAGATATGGCTTCGTGCAGTACTTCAATACCCGTGATTTCTGAAAATTCCGTTCGTAATATGTCGTTTGAGCACGTAGCAAAATAGGTGAGACTACCACGATCAACTTCGACTTCGCTGATGGGAAAGTTGTAGAAAGATCGGCGAAGATAAAGAATGCAGTGTGCACTAAGGGATTATTTGATTTTCAAGCCTGGCTTGAGAGATCGAGTTTTTAGGTGTGAAATCAAGGTTGAGGTTGGAAAAAGAAAGTAATTTTTATTATGTGTTACGGGGTATAGTTGCGAGAAAGGAGCTAGCGACGCGTCGAGGCTACTTGCATGACATTCACTACCAAAACACCAAATTCATATATGAAATTTACATTTCGTTTTCATCCTATTATTGATCAATGTTCAATGAACAAACCTGCAAAACTTTTAGATCTGGGTTTAGAAATCATATTCCCGAGTTTTTTACACCCAGCTCCACCCTTTTCAACCAGTACTTGTGCATAATCATATAACCACCAGTGGGTGTACGGACTCACGGGACAGTACAAAAATAAACTTATAAGTACCTTTTGACATATCGAATCATTTATTTTAAAAATTGTTTATAATTCTTGATTAAAGATAAAATAATCAAAATACAAATTTCGATATCCAACAATTGAAGAATGAATTTATGAAAAATATTGAAAATTGGGAAGTGTCCCGTCAATCCATGCACCCACTGGTGAACCAACCATGGGAGAAAGGGTGAAAAGACGTTGACTTCACGGTTAACTTGACGGCTCAATTCACTTTGACCTATCACTCTGTTCAAGACCAGTCAGTTAGATTGTATATTTAGCTATCAACATCTTGTAGATGGGAAGTACTCAAAGGGTCTCAGCTAATTTTGAATTTCACTTCACATACCACGATAGTCAAAAGAAAGGCCATATCTTAAAATCATCAGCTTAAATTTCATTTTATTTCACCCCCAATCTCTTAATTCTATTCATACAAGATACAACAATGCAATAGGTAATAAGTCCCCACCAAATCCAGCCATGCAAACCGGCCGATCCGATCCGATCCCATCCCTGAGAAAATAAAAAAGAAATATAAAGAAATCCAATAATCCATCCATCGGTCCTTCCAAAATGCAAATATCGTTCATAGCACATCTAACCTGGCCTTTCATTACCCCCATCCAGAGCATTTCATTTAAACATCAACGAATCTGGCAAGACGACCATTGACAGATCGCTTGTAGGCACCCTTGACTCCGATACAGACGGCTTGTCCGACAGTCAACTTACACTCGCTTCCGAGAGCAGGGTTCCAGAGATTAAGGTTAGCGGCGCTGACACCGTAGTAGTTCTCAATGTTGGTGCAAGAGCAGCTGTTATCTTCAATAGTGACCCATTTGTCACAGGTGGAGATTGTACCTGTGGCAGTTGGAGCTGGGGCAACGGTTCCAGTGGCAGTCTTGGTTGGAATGACGGTTGCGGAGGCTTTGGTGGTGGTGGAGCTTGCTACGACGGTGCTGGAAACTTTGGTGGAAGAGGCAGCAATGGAAGAAACTTTGCTGGTCTCAAGACCAAGAGCGGAAGATGTAGAAGATCCTCCATAAACTGAAGCACCAGCTGTAGTGGTTACCTTAGCTGAAGAAGAGGAAGCTTTGCTAGTCTCGAGACTGAGAGCGGAAGAAGTGGAAGAGGCAGCAATGGAAGAAACTTTGCTTGTCTCAAGACCAAGAGCAGAAGAAGTGGAAGATCCTCCGTAAACTGGAGCACCAGCTGTAGTGGTTACCTTAGCTGAAGAAGAGGAAGCTTTGCTAGTCTCGAGACCGAGAGCCGATGTGGCGGATGAACCGATAGCAGTCTTGACCGAGCTAACTCCTGAAGCAGAGATGTAAACTGAGCTGCTAATCACAACAGTACCAGAAGTCTTGACAATGGAAGTACTGGCACCTTTGATGGATGAAGCGGTAGTATCAGGGTGAGTACCGTAAGAGGCAGCCGAGGAAACACCGGTACCAGTGACTTTGCTAGATGAGGATACTCCAGTTCCGGAGAGCTTTGTAGAAGTAGAATAAACTGGGGCAGTTCCGTAGCCAAGTGCAGAAGAGGAAGCTGGAGCAGATCCATATCCGTGAGCAGATGATGAAACGGCAGTTCCAACAATCTTGCTGGTACCGTATCCGGAAATACCAGTGCCGGTTATCTTGCTTGAAGAGGGTCCGGTACCAGAGACCTTGATAGAAGAAGGTACGATGGTTCCAGAGACCTTGATAGATGAAGATGCGCCGGTTCCAGAAACCTTGATACTAGTAGCTGATGCTGATCCTGAAGTTTTATGAGTTGTACTGGCAGATACGGCTGATGCTTTGGATGAAGAACCAGCACTAGTCACCTTGGCGGAGGTGGTAGCAGCGGCTTTGGTGGTGGAAACTGCGTTAGCAGAAGAGACTGGAACGGTACCGACAGTCTTGATCGAGACACCCTTGCCACCGGCTGGAAGAGTTGGGCCCAGAGGGAAACATTTGTCAATAGGAGTGATCAAGTTGTTGTTGGCGTAGATGGAGGTTTTTGCCTTCCAGCTCTTGTCTCCGCCAGATTCAGTGTAAACACCAAGGTTGAGGTCAACACCAACAGTTGCACCTAGAGTGACACCGAAAACATCGGCTGATCCAGGGCATACACCTTGAGTGTTGAATTCGGCTCCAAGATCAATTTTGACATCTGGTATTCTGAGAAAGAGTCCACCTCCGAAGCCCCACTTGCTGAGAACGGTAAGTCCGACATCAAGACCAAGTTCGGTGTACAATTGCAAGCTTCCATCGACCTCAACGCTGACCTTAGGAGTTTGAGGAGTTGCGGTTGGAACCCAGCCTTTGAAGCTAGAATCAACACCGCTAATACCAAGAACAGCGGAGGAAGAGTCTGGGATGGCAACGTTGACACCAGCGCTGATCGAAGCACTTCCTTCGATACCGCTAAGAGCGAAACCGGCATCGACGCTGAATTGAGGACCCAAGTCAATGATCTTGGGGATAGACCAACCTGGAAGACCAACAGTAACCAAGTTCCAGTCTTTGGACCATCCACTACCTAATGTACCGGAAACGGAAAATCCAAGAGCCAAGTTAGCACCTAAACCTTTTGGAGTGGCAGTGATAGAGATAGACTTGACACTGGTTGGAATGCCAATGATGGTGTTCATAACAATCTTTCCTTGAACATCGATACTACCGGTGGTAGCACAGCCAGGACAGTCAATGGAAAAGTCGAGTCCATTGTTGGTAGATTTACTGAAGAATGTCTGAGGAAGACTGTGGGCCATGTTAAGAGATAGAGTCTTGCTAACAGTATCGGTTCTCTTTGATGAAGAGGATGTTGACATGGCACCAAATTCAATAACGGCACCAGACATGACATCATCCCAGTCTGAAAGAGTAGCATTGAAGTTGACGATGAAGTTTTGCTCATCATAGACATCGACTCCGTGAACAACCCATGGCTGTCTACCAGATTCCGATGCAGCAGCGCACGCACCCCAGTTATTGATCATGAAAAATGTACGATTCTCATGAAAGTTGACCCAGGACCAATCGGAAATGGCAGCTTGGAAAGTAGCATTGTCTTTGAAGGTGAGCACAAGATCACCGTTGCATTGCACGTCTGTGAGACTGTCGGCAAAATGTTCGGTGGAGATAACAAGTTCGGTTTCGCCTGTGTTAAGGGTTACGTTGACAAAAGTCGATCCTATTTTTCGTTAAATCATCGTTGTGGAATTGATAGGGAAAAGGCAACATACCATTTGATGATCCCCAAATAAGACTGAGTTCACTTTGAAGAGTGACGCTAGGTGGTGCATCTCTTCTCTGAAGACCAAGATCCCTTGGATGATATGGGACTAGAGTTTCTTTGATAGCTTGAGCAGTGCAAATCTGCCATAAAGAAAGAGCCGCAAGGGCAAAGACTGATTGACGCATGATATAGAAATTATGATTGCAATTTCGAAGAAAAATGAAGGAAATGTGAAAATTGGTTATTCGAATCAAAAACAGCACTCAATGAATGAATGAAACGGATCGATAGACCCTAGGAAAGGAAAAAAGAATGACTAGAGAGGTGCTGTAAAGAGAATGTGAAATGAGATGTAGAGAGGAAGGTAGGAGTCAGTAACACTCCTCTGTCTTATATATCGACCATCCTCTCTCCCTCGAGACTCACAAGATGGAATAATCAGATCAATCATCACGCAATTTACATGATCATAGAAGGATTTCTGTGAACCTGGTGGTGAGAGGTGCCAAGAACTGCCTGGATTCTTGTGTATGTGTTTTCGACCCAGCCAAGCGAGTCATGAAGATTCATTTTTAGAGGACTTCCTCCAAAAACTTATTATAACAATAGAAAAGCAGTATATTCTTCGCAGGATGCTGACTGTGAGGAAATTTTGGGTGCTCCTTCAACAGCATTACCTAGGAGAACATGGTGGTATCCACGTGAGAAGCTAATTTCTCGGGATGATCAAACACATCGGCTTGAACGGCATGTCAACCTCAACTCTCGAACGGTTTTGAAGGAACAACTTGATGATCAGGTACTCCCATAAACCGGTAGGAAAGTATCAAGAATAGATGTTCTCCATGTGAGTACGTAAGCCTCAACTAGAGATGAGGTTACAGAAGGATGTTGAAGGAAGAATGTGGGAGACAAGGGACATAACGTGCTAATCTTAATTGAGGCTATACGTAAAGTGACCAATAAACAAATGTATGGCGATATGTACAGGAGGTGGAAAATGTTGATAGGTACGAATAAGAACATAGGGCAGACGATGATGACTAGCCCATAACAACTCGCTAGTGCTTATGCCTATATTCCCCTGTAGGTTTGAGAACTCCCCCGCACCCACGGTTCCTATCATAGTTTTAAGCACTGGCCTGATCAGCGCCTGCCAATCAACAGGGAGAATTATCAGCCACAGATGGTAACTGTAATTGGCTGAAACTTTACGATCAAAAGAATGTGGACGCCTAATTCTGTGTTCGAATTGTGAATAATGCGGAATCTGAAATACGACAATCACTTCTGCTCATAATGTGTGTGAAGTTTTTGTAGGATGATGGGAATGACGATATGTGCTTATCAAAACTAGCTGAGTAATAAATCCAGAGGTCTACTGATAAGTGGCCCATGACAATAATGTGGAGAAATCATTTACTACGATTCAAGAGGGGAGACAAATCGATCCTACTCGTCTCGAAGACGATTCAGGGAAAGAAGCAGAAGACAGAGAATGGAAGTTGCTCGTGTTGGGGGCTGTTGGTTTGTAAGACCAGGAAGCTATTTTTGTGCTGACTTAAAATTACTGCGCCTGTGAGATACAACCACATCAATGCAATGCAATGCAATATAGCTACAGCCATAATTGTTGAGAAAATTTTCAATAACACCGGCCTCTTTCGAGAAATGCCATTGGATGCCAATTCACTGGAAACAAATAATATGCTATTCTGTGGCTTGTAATTGCTGCAGGTACCCGGCACAGCCTTGATTGCTTATTCCAACTGTTGTATTACACAAATTGCTCTGCCCCGGTAATTGCGTCTGACTATCCGGTATTTATAGAATCCTTTCAAATAAGCCTTCAGGATTTTGCAATGTAGTACTGAGTACGAAGTGAATAAAGAGCTTTAAAAGGTCTTAAGAATCCTTACAATTTCCGCCTCACAAAGATTTTTCTCTTATCAACATTCACTTTTTTGCCAATTTCCTTTAAGCAAACGGAAAATATCATCTGCTTTTTTTCTTTCCAATTTAAATTATTCAAAATACGGCACTAGCGACTCAGCTGCTGCGCCTGCTTCGGTTATCTCATTGCTTTTCAAATCCTTCTCCATTTAAGGTCAACAACCTTTCAATTTTTACAAACTCAAACCATCAACCTTACGAACACAAAACTTCGACCAACACAAGCATCAAACCTTCGAACAACTTCAACTCTTCAATTATCAACCGCCAAGATGAGTTGCACTGATCCTAACGACAATCTCTTCCCTGTTCTCGTGCTCGCCGGCAGCGACGAATACGTCAATGCTTGCACTGCAGGTAACATCACCTCCAACTCTGCCGCTGTGAGCGCCATGAAAAAGTGTTGCGGTAGCGCCCCCGTCAATGTTATCATGGACGGTTGCTACAGTTACTGCAATGTTACTAGCAGTGCTGATCAACAAGCTTTCGAACAATGCTTCGGCTCAAGTGCTGGTATTACAATAGATGTCGATTACGGCTGCACCTTGGATGACACTTCAGGACATGAGATTCCTGGCAGCGGTACCATCACCCCAAGCTCCACTGGAACATCAGCTGCAATTGCCACTCTTGTTCCTATCACCGTTACTACATCCTCCGGTTCTACTACCACTACCGCAACTTCTGGTCGAGCCACCGCAACTTCTGGTCAAGCCACCGCAACAGTCGCTGCCAACTCAACCTCGGCCTCTCCTTCTGCCTCTGCCTCCGGCACCGAAAAGCCTTCGACAACCAGCAAGACTTCAGGTTCGGCTTCCTCTTCCGCTGCTACTGCTTCCACCACTGCCAACGCTGGTCCAACCGTCAAGCAATTCTCCAAGGGTGCTATGGTCGTTATCGCACTTGCTTTCGCCCGCCTTTTGGTTTAAGTGTGAAGGATTATGAAGGAGATTGCAGACCAAAAAGAATGATTGATTCTCGTGGTGGGATAGAATAATATGTTGTGGATTTGGGGACAAATTAACTACGTGGATTATTGAATTTGACGGACTGCATTTTCGAAATACAATTGGCGCATTATAGGAGCATAATGGTGGTGCATAGCGTGTTTAACTCTGGGTTTCATGACTATACATTCTAAAATCGAATTTACTTCTTTCGATTACATGTCTATGTCTCCAACTTTGTTTCCAAGTGATGTGATGATTGTAAGATTGTAAACTGTGAATGTTGGAAGCTTCACCGCAATATGTATGGGTGAGGCACAGGATTTGAAGCCGCATCCAACACGGACAACGCGAGACAAATGAAGGAATTGAAGGAAATGTAAGCCATGGGGGCAAGAGCGATGTAACTACACAAGGATCAAGGTGTAACCATCTGAAAGCCAATGAAATTTCAAGATGAGAAATTCATCTAATAGACTCATATGCGATTACCAAATATCAAGAGAAGACTCACAGCCACTTAATTGTCTACCTGTAAGCATCACTTGGGCATCCATACCAATTAATCATATTTGTTGCAACGATGTTTGATTAGCCGGGAATCAGTTTTGATTGTGAATATTGAAAAGAATGAAAACGAGGGATGAGACGAGATCAAGAGATAGGATGATGATTACTAATGCGCTAGTCCCAATCAAGTGTGAAGGAGTACAAGGGTAATTTACGTGCCCTAATCTTAGAAGAACGATCATGACTAAGGTTAGCACGTGAGTGCTTCGCAAAAACAATTCTGTCTGTCTCGCGACAATGATTCAAAGACGAAGGGAATCCATCGCCCAGTATATTTCGAGAAAACAAAAAAAGTTCATTTGATGGCGTAACCCGTTCTATGCCTGAAGTTGGCCCAATAAGCAATGCTGATATCGATTGCCGCATTCTCATCTTCATAGGTGGGGGTTCAAGTAATCATCAATATGTGACGAGAAAGGAATCATCGCGAAATGCGTTGTACTTGCTGTATTTCTTGGAGCCATATCATCAAGTAATTATCCTTCCATAGATGAAATGGCCGATTCTCAAATCGCCTTGACAGACTCTCCAACCTGGAGTCCTTTGCTCTACCGACCTTTGGGTGCCGATGAGATTCGGGTTTTATGTCTCGAGCCAAGTTCCCGTTCAGATCCTGATGATTTTGATATGATTTCATGTTAAATGCGTCCGATTAAACTCGAAAACTAGGTGTATCTTATGAATTTATCGACAGTGAAGCGACATCCTAGAGGGAGTGGAGAGGTCTTCATCAAAAGCCATATGATTATACGACATTGTTTAAACCTAGAAGGGGACTTTTTGACCGCCCTTTGAAAGCATATATCAGGACCTTGAAAGCGATTCAAAGCAGATCCGACGAAGCTATTGCGCCCACGGAAAGTTCATCCCATCTCTCAGATAGATATGTTGCACTATCATATGTCTGGGGATCTCCCGCGGAAAAAAAGACAATCTTAGTCAATGGGATTGAGATGCAAGTCACCCAGAATCTACACACTGCGTTGATTGAATTGCGAAGGTCAAATTGGGTCAGAAGGCGTGTTAACTTGTGGATTGATGCGTTGTGTATTAATCAAGATGATTTAGATGAGCGCGAGCAGCAAGTAAAGCTCATGCGAGATATATATGCTATGGCATGGCAAGTGGTAGTCTCACTTGGTTCGAGCACTTCAAATACGACCATGGCATATACAGCATTACAGTGGTTAGTTCATGAGATAGGGTCGGATGAAAAGCTGAGAGAATTCGCAGTAAAATATGGAAACCTGCATCATAATACCGCCAATGCAGTTGAGTCAGCGCCTCACACTTTGCCATGGCATGAATTTGCGTATGAATCCCTCCGTTCATTTTTTGCATGCCAGTATTGGCATCGTCTTTGGATTTTGCAAGAATTGGCCATGGATAGAATGGATGCACCTATTATCTGGGGGGATCATTCTATGTGCCTACGTGATATATGGAAAGCTTGTCATATGATAGAAAGGCAAGAGGATACTATTTTGCGGTATATCACGACACATACAAATGATGCTGATCGGCATACAACCGTAGCTACAATAGATCGACGAATAGAAGACCGCGAGGGAACTCCTGGACAACAGTGGAAATATCTTATCCGTATTCAAAATATGCGTGAGTTGAATCAGGGAGGGGGGGTTAGGACTGCTCTACCGGCTCTTGAATTGGCAAGACAAGCGCAAGCTACCGATGCACGGGATAAGGTCTATGGGATTCTTGCTATACCTTGCGTCAAAGGACTGACAAACATGTCACCCAATTACCGAATCGAGCTTCCCGAGATATTTACCAATTTCACACGTGAAATAATCTCGAATAATGAACACGGTTTGGACATTCTCAGATTGGTTCATTCTCCTGTTGATAAAATCATGCTATCATCAACACTTGCAAGTAATCCTCGTTGGATGCGTCAAATGATAGCAGGTCGTTTCGTAGAGGTTGCAACACCTTGTATACATAAGTTACCCTCTTGGGTGGTTTGTTGGTCATGCACGGCCGCACCGATCATGTTTCTTCCTGGCATTTACAAAGCAGGTCTTGGCTTCACACACCCTTCACCTCCAGTATTTCTTCATGATAACTTTATATCACTACATGCCGTATTTATTGATTCGATAGCTAGCCTTTCAACATTCAACGCTCACGAAAATGATGAAAAGTTCCCGAAGAACCACATCAGTGCAATCTCTATCCAAAATGAATATGGCACCATCGATGGTCTCAAAGAAGCATTCTGGAGAACCATTGTAGCGGATACCACGCCTAACGGCGAGAAACCTCCTCCTTCGTGGGCAGTCCTTCGTTTACCAAAATTATGGTCAGTTTTTGGTACAACAGAAGGCGGCAGTTCAGGTCTGGATTTTAGTCTGCATGGCTTTGCGCAACGGAACTGAGAACTGCTCATTTGTGGAACACGTTTCAAAGATCTTGTAGCCGATGCTAATATCATCGAGGAAAGAAAAGTATTTAGAAATGAGGAAAGAAGCACGAGTAATGATGACTTGCGGGATTCTTTGACGTGGGCTGCCAATGTTCTTGCGTGGCGGAGATTATTTGGAACTCAAAATGGTAGGATTGGCCTTACAGTCGCGGCTGCTATGATAGGTGACTCAATTGTGGTGCTACCTGAATGTAGTGTCCCTCTAATTGTGAGAAGGGATAGAAAAGTTTGGAGACTGATAGGAGAGTGCTTTGTTTATGGGTTGATGAATGGGGAAACAGCAGACTTGGTGGGGAGAGGAATGGTACCAATTGAAGAGATAAAACTTCATTGATAGCATCAAAGAGATCGATGGCCAAGTCATCTTTAACTTTATGTAGTCCAAAAGTATGGCTACGAGCATAATATCTGCCAGAGGGGAGCTTGAATTTATCGTATGCACAATAACTCTTGATAGAAAGAACACGAGGTGCTTTAGCATTAAATTTCCAAGGAGACAATTGATCAAAGCCATCGAGTATGTAGCTCCTGAATACAACTACTTCAAAACGCAGACTGCTTCTACATTATTCCCATATATATCCGAGACAAAAGCCGCATAGTATGGCTGCCGACTCATCTCCTTTCGAATTCCCGGCGGTCCATTATCATGTCCGCCATTTTGTCTAGAACGCTGTCAGTTATCCAGGGTATAAACTTTTCAACAATTAACAAGAGAAAGAAGAAGATGTTCCAAGAAAACTGATTAATTATCTTTACATCCAACTTACAAAGCGATTTCATAAAACTGATCTACGGCCTCTCGATCTATTTATATTTCATCAGCTAGCTGCAATTATTTCCATACCTGGTAGGTATTCTTACTCGGAGCATCAAACGCAACATGCGTTGGCAACGGCGTTTGACCTTCAGACAATTTCTGCAGCCAAAAATAAGGATAATCACTACCATATCCAATAAGAGCATCGTTATTTGCGCAGATCATCTCGGTATAGCTTAAGGGTTTTAATACTACCTCATAGAATGAACGCAGAGCTTGGAATTTGGCTGCGGAAGCGTTGAAGAAGATATGGTTGATTGTCATTTTGCGAGTGGTAAGTTCATGAATGATAAGTTTTTTAGTAAATGAGGGTAGATAGTGGTGATTTATATATCTGCGTTGCGTGATGGAAGTGAGGGGTCCCTTGACGAATCCTTTGAATAAGCAGCTCGGAGGTCCGAGTATATTGGTTACACCAAACGTCGTTCCTGGATATCGCGCTTTCTACTTCGCAACGCCATTTTCAGTGCGAACTCAATGTCCGGAGCTTGGTAAGTGTGATATTCCAACTTAGTAATGTAAAAAAGAAAAAGGGGGATCTACAAGTTGTATAAAATGATTGAAATATATCATCATGAGACCGTATCTATCAAACTTTCCACACAGCGGTCCAAGAAGAAGAAGAAGAAGAAGAAGAAGAAGAAAATAAACAGCATGGCATCATTCATCATATACGGCGCAACAGGGTACTCTGGCCGATTGGCAAGTGAGTATGCAAAGAATCTCAACCTCGACTTCTCAATTGCTGGCAGGACAGAGCATAAGCTCAAGAGCCTAGCATCTCTACTCGACGTCTCTTATTCGGTCTTTGATATTAATCAAGTTGGTTTGACCGATTCGGTATTAAAAGAAGCTTCCGTCTTCCTCAACTGTGCCGGTCCTTTCGTGCACACATCCAAGCCGCTTATCGAAGCATGCATCCGAAACAAAGTACATTACCTTGATATCGCAGCAGAATTAGACAGTTATCAGCATGCGCAGAAACTTGACAAAGAGGCACGAGATGCCAACGTTATGCTTATGCCCGGGTGTGGAGGAAGCGTCGTCATGTTGGGCTGCCTTTCTGCTCATGTTGTCGAGAAAGTCAAAACCCCGATCAAAATTGAAATTGCCTTGCGCATCGCTGGGTCGATATCACGAGGGTCGGCAAAAAGTGCTGCAGAAAGTGTAACAAGCCAGTGTCTTCAGCTTGTTAACGGATTATTGGTTGGACAAGATGTCAGCAATACTGCTGAATTCGATTTTGATGATGGCAATGGACATGTCACATCCTTTCCGGTGACATTTCCCGATCTCCTCACCATACAGAAATCTACAAATGTGCTCAACATCGCAACATATGTGGATATCTCCGATGCGAACTTTCCGACTGGAGATCTTGCTTTGCTGCCGGAAGGTCCAACGGCCGCGGAAAGGAAGACTACACCATATCATGCAACAGTCAGTGTCACATCTGAACAAGGAGTTACCCGGAGAGCCGCTCTCCACACAATGAATGGCTATACCTTCACTTCAATGGCATCAGTGCAAGCTGCCAAGCGAGTGATGAATCATCAGGCTATACCAGGCTTTCAGACGCCTGTTGAAGTATTTGGGAAGGAGTTTGTTCTCACTATACCAGGCTCCAATATCGTAGATCTCCAAAATCCCAACGAATAGTTTTGAATATGATCAAGATACTTGACTTAATTTTGTAATGGGTGGAATGGTTTTCCATGGTACAATCTGGGAAATATGAGCAGATTATATCATCAGTAGAGAATGAAAAACAATAAAATATATCTCATAAACCTTATACCGTGGATGAATAACTAAAGCTTTACCTCCAAATAAGCATGCTGGTTCAACTGTGAATTCCCATAATTTGCCAGATTCCTTCTCCTCACTACTACTCCGCCGATCTGGGGGTAAGGATTCGTAATTTGTCAGTATATCGTTCAATTCCGGACTTTTTTGTAAAACAGAGAACTCCAGATTTCAGATTGCTGATCTATCATTCTGGAGACGTCATCGTCCAGTCCAATTGCTTACAAGCATTGATAATCAATACATTAGAATTTATGACTGTATATTGTAATCAAGGAAACGAACGCTCATGAACAGATATAAATAAGGCAAGACTTCCTGTGTTTAAATCACAATCAGACAAATATCAATACTCTCCTCTGCATCACCTCAAGCTCCAATTCACACCGTATCACAAGAGCCGACACAATTCACACAGACATCCTTCCATCAAGTAACAACACCATAGTAATGGAGTCTATTACATTAGATCACGAACTTATCAGAAATGCAATCGCAAATGTTGCAATTTCTTTTGATATGAACACCTTTGAGGAGCTTCGCAATTCATTCACAGAAGACTGTGTAGCGGACTATACAGGTTCTCTTGGTCTCATGAATGGCATTGACACTGTCATCCAGCAGTTACAGAAGACCATTGGGCACGTCAGCACTTTCCATAGCTTGAGCACACAAGTCATTCAACTCACTGGAAACAACACGGCTCAAGCTACCACATATGTTTCAGCAAGCCACTTTGCCGACGACAAGTCGTTCTTTGCCGAAGCCAGATATCTCGATAAACTTACGAAGGTTACCGAGGGGGGAACGGTGAAGTGGTTGATTGATTATCGATTGACCACCATGATGGGTGTTCCGAGGGGTGATATCTCTATATTCAACATGGATTTGGAGGGGTGGGTAGACACCCTAAAGGCGTGAAAGCAATTCAAATCTATGAGCAGAGTAGTTATCCGCCTAAGTAAATCCCACTGTATCACAGTTGGTTGAACTTGGCTGGCATAGAAAGAGGATCGTGAAGTCAGTCGTTGGTTCTAACTATTGAATGGTGGGCATGTTGGGAAATTAGATTGAGCAACGAGGTCCTGAAATCAAATGTACAGAAATCTCATTTGCGTGTTAGATTTCCCCCTATAGAATAATGAAAAGATGATTTGTTGTCCCAAGTATTTATGCGATTACTGAATCAATACTTTAAGTGACGGTGGAGTGAATTCCGTAGCATTAACTTCAAGACTGTTAGCATAGTAAATTTCGAACCATCGAAATTGAAAACTAACCAATTGAAGCCATAATAAATCCAAACTCGTCAATCTCCCCAAACCACTTCTCTGCTCTGCTGTCCAAAGTAGTACCGGGTAGAATATCTCCAATCTCGGCTTGAAGGTAAATTCGACCACTCCATCTCGAAAGCCAATGTATGTATTTCGTGTTCCACTCTTGTTCAGTGCTTGCTTGCCAAAGTACCTTTGGAGCCGGTGCAGGCATAAGTCCAAGGTCTTTACAGTCGAAACATTGAACTTTGTGCAACACTGAGTGTCCCCAGTGAAGAAGATATAAAGTGAGCACTGCTCTACGTTTGGATGTGACATATATCCAAGCTTTCCAACGTGGTCGTGTCTGTGCTCTCTCTTCATCGAGAAAAAGACCATCACGCACAATGTGCCATACAAGTGACTCGACTTTTTGAAAGACAATTTCATTATCATCAGGGGAGTTTTGTGGGGCTCTTGATGGGGAGAGGAGGATAATGGAATAGATTACTACAGCTTGTAGAACTGCTAGGAGCATGGCTTCGTCAAGTTCTTCGGGCTAATTTGGGCTACCAATTAGTCGGTCCCGTAGAAAGATGTGTATCAAGACTTACTTCATCGACAATAAGATTCAACTCTGAAACTATTGTCTTCCTCACAATCTCTTCAGCTCCTACACTTTGGCCATGCCACATTTTGACTAAAGTTGTGCAAGTGGCCAGTGGCCGGGGCAGAGCATCATGCTGAGCAAAGTGTGTGGAGTGAAATATTGGAGGTAGTTGAAATCCCTCAGCCAGCATCTGAGGCCATGTACGAAAGACACGGAAGATCAGTTCCATGCTGTGATTTGCTAAAGCAGTCGAGTTTGATTTTGGAGAAGGTTGCAACTCGATGGACGGAACGTCGTTAAGTCGGCCAAGCTCAGAAACACCTTCATCCTCACGACCAAAAGATGACAGCCCTAAATGGTCCGTATGTTGCGGATATAAATCAAGGTCTAATTGTGGCATTGATGACCAGGTTCCTACATCCGAGAAAAAGGTGTCGAATAGATTAGGGTCAAAAGATGACTGTAAAAATTGTGGTCGAAATGCAGCTGAAACATCTGAAGTCGTGGTGCTTGTCGGATCCTTCTCGATTTCTGAAAGCTCGTGTTCCACATTCGCAGGAGTGTTCGGGTTTTCAGGAATAGCGTATTCACAGGGAACTTCGCGCACATGACATCGTGAGCAAGTAGGCCGTTTTAAGCTACACCTTGTTTTATGTACGACACATTGAAGACAAGCCTTACGCCGTCTTGATTGATTCTTGTTACATTGATTTTTCAAATGGCGACTAAGCGATGATTCTGCAATGTTGTAAGATTTCAACGTCAACGAAAACGGGATGGGAAAGTCTCGTGACTTACGGTGGTTGAACTTGGCTCCACAAGACAGGCAGCCTGGTTTCCCTTCCATTGTATCTAGTTCCATCTCTTCGCAGCGGAGATTGAGTTGTTACTTGTGAACAGCCGATTGATGTGAAGAAGGAGAATATGGATGAAATGCATGCGGTGGTCCCATTTCCCAATTAGCTCGGAACTCCGGGCTGCTTATGCAGCAAAATAGACCGAAAGGTTGAAATTCATCCGATTTTGCACATTCTTGAGTCTTTTGTGTATTTTCGAAAGAAAACATCTGGCAGTCAAGTTATACCTATGCTGGATAATGCTACGGGCCCAGTGTTCTTCAACGGAGAACTGGGGCAGTCGCCTTGCGATGCACTGTAGTGAGGTTAAACGCTGAGTGCCCTTTTTATGAGGCAGCTTGACTTCTTGCGCTCACATTTCGTTGTCAAAAAAAAGAAGGTCTTTCTTCAATAATAGAGAATCTTATGGTTAAGAGTATGTGTCTAATCAAACAATGAGGGCGCCACGAGAAATAGTAGAGTTGGCGCTTTCTTTCGGCGCCTGCCAAACGTTTTCTGCCTATACAGCCCTAGAAAGCGGTGAAGATTGCTCACTCCGAAATCTTTTGTACTTGATGATTTGTTTACCTGATCACCTCACTACGCAGTAGAGATTTTTTGGTTTCATTCACGATCGGTGCGAACGAACTCGGTGTGAATTCAAGCTCTACTTTCTCTTGTGAGAGATGAGAAGATACATTTGCCATGTGGAAGGCAACACATCTATTTAGCCTCGTGGGTTCATGAATGGTAGTTTCATTCTATGGAGGCTCATAGCTGCCAAAGATCTCCAAGTGAAGATTATTCTTCCCCTCTATGTGGTAGGGTTGCTTTGCGTCTACCATATTTGGCAAGCTCTTACTAAATAGGCACCTCCTCCAGCAAATCCTTGCAATGATCTGGTTCCTGATTTGCATTCTGTCAATGTGGCGCAACCTTCAAACGGCTGACGCCAATCACGTTGCGTATAAAAACAACCACGCTGCAGAGTATCTGCAGGATATATATTGATTCTTGCGCAACTGCGCCTCGGAACCGATAGATGGAAGTTTGCTATTTCGAAAATCGGTTCTAGAAAGAAGCTAGAACTGGATACAAGTACAAGTGAAGCATTCCGAAGTAATCTACCTTTATTCCTCTATTCCTGATTTTTGATCATGCAATTCCTGTCAGTCCTTCGTTAACACAATTTGAATGTCATCATCAAATCGCCAAAATGGTGTACCAAATCAGACCCCTGCACATATCAAGTGAGGCCCCAGAAGTGGTTCCCGAGGAACAGTCTCCGTACTTATTAACCTCGCCCGATAAATATTTCGTTCGTTCATACTCTGTGAGAAGAGCATCAAATCATCTAATATCGCCACTAAGTAAACAATGTGATGATATTCCTCTCCAAGAAGTCTCATTTCCACCACCAAAACGAGCATACGATCTTGCGCGTTATTTACCTCCGCCAAAACAAAAGAAAAATCTCGGGCTGGTTCCAATTGTTTTCATAGCTGTGGTGTCTTTCTTAATCGGAGGGGGTATTGGAGGTGGTATTGGAGGATGGGTTGGGAGACATAGCAATTCATCGAGGTATTTCTGCACGCGACAATAAAGAGGGACACAACTGATTATAACTGTTTCCAGCAAGACTTCCAAATCCGATTCAACGGGAACACTTTCAGGATGTGCTCCAACAGTCACGGAATTTGTAGACTCGGCCGGCTGCCCCAACGTCAACAATACTACCTACACAACACCTGTACCGAGTATAGAGTTTCGTATAGCCTGTGCTATCGACTTGACTTCTTCACCAGAAGAAGATATCGAATTAACCAACGTCACAACTCCGACTCTGAATAATTGTTTGCAATCGTGCGCACAATATAATAATGGCCAATGCTTGGCAGCTACTTGGATACAGTTTTCTCCAAATCACCCAGAGATGAACTCGAAGTGTTTCTTCAAAGCGAATTCAGGAGTTCGCATACCCATGAATTCTACGGGGACAATAGCCACGAGTGGATTCCGGATTTCCTGACACGAGCTCGATACAGAATACAAATTCTTAAAATGCCTAATATATTTTAACATGATGCCTCGAGGCACTAGAATAGCGCTCATGGTTCGCTCACTTGATATCAATGATTTTCGCATGGTCATGGCGTTTTCAAGATGGTGCATTATTCTTACGTTTTTCAGAATTGGATTGCAGCGGTATGAATGGAGTATCTGAAAGTTGTACATTCGCTGCACGAGATATGAAGAAGATGATGAAGGATTTGCTTTGCTTGCAGGCAGCTTAATTTTTAATTACTATTTTCGACTGTTGTTTTGTTGTTGTAATCACATTGGTGCCCAACATTGGCAACTTGCGGGCGAGGTGTGATTAGAAATTTTGTGTTGAATCAACACGTTCGTGGATATGGAATCAGATGGTAGGAGTTATTGCAAATCTGAATATGAAGTGGTAACCGCGTTAGCAATGAATCGTTTCGAAGGAAGTTCTGTCACATTAAAATTGCTCCCAGCGTCTCTGCCCTGCTTGTGAGGGATTGAATATCATGCTTATTTATTTTCTTCCTCAGGATAAATTATCTGAAGACTCGTCAGAGGCACTTCATCAAATGATGCGATTTGGCTTACCTCGAAAGGTACTAGCGTGGTGCAAAAGACAAGCCAGAATGCCACTTCTCGAGCACTCTTTATGCTTAAAGGTTGCTTAGATTCGGTTTTTGCAGAGGAACCTCCCATAGAAACCAAGATGGCTAGCATTCCTAAGTACAACTAGATGGGCTCGGCAGTGGTGATCAGGTCAAATGAGCCTAGCGTAGTTGATTACCCCCTCTTTCCCAAAATAGTTAGACCCAGGTCTGATCGCGTCGCGCGGTACTTGTTCCCATAAATTTAGCCCTTCCTCTTTACTACACATCAAAAGGTCGCGACTCACGACCACCCATTCATTATTGTCTCGTAGCTAGTAGTGATTCTAACACTTCTATACACAATTGCCTTTGTCTACGTATTGACAAACCCCAATTGAGTTGCGTTGGTGCAATAGATATTGAGCCTTCGAGGGATCTGTGTAAATCGCGTCAATTTTTCAAGATCTCTGAAGACTTCCCAATTCATTGCTGCCAATCGTCTGAGTCTATCGATCGAGATTTTTTTGTTCACAAAAGAGGCATGTTTGTTGTTGTTTCGGGTATTCTATCCATCATTCTCACTACGCGT